GTTTGATTTAATACAAGAGGCTTTCGTCTAATGCTGCCAATTGGCAGCTGTCTGTTCAATTCTTAGAATGAGATACAAAAGAGTGACTGTTCACAACAGGGCTTGTCATCCAGGAAAATTCACTGCAGGGCCACAACATAGACTGATTTTTAAATTGGAGGTTCCACACATCTGTATGTGAAAAACTCTCTCAACAAAGTTTCTTGCCCCTAAATGAATTCCACTGACCTCCTGCTCTGGAGTTTCAAGCTTGGTTAACAGTGTTATAATAGCAAGAGTTAGGAATGTCTGGGAGTATTTTCAGTCCAGTGTCTCATTCTTATCCCCCCGCTGTTCAAACTTCTACAAACTGCTCCTGGGTTCAAATCCAGTTCAAGACATTTAAACCATTCCAAGCCTCAGTTTCCATATAAGTAAAAAGAAGTGGGTGAGTGTTAATAAAAATAACTATTTTCATAGAATTTTTGTGAGATAAAATTAAATGCTTGTCAAATGCTAGGCAAAGACTTTGGCACAGATTAACCATTAAATAAATATTGATGATTCTTCTTTCCACTTAAAATACATATTATACTTCTATATATCATATAGGACTTTCCAATGATCCCACCTGTTTTCTGAAACCCTTATTTCTATAAATTACATTACTTTGCATATGCAGAATTTTATAAAAATTTCAGATGCTTAACAGTACACCTCATTTAAAATTGCCAAATAATTTCAATGAAGCCAATATCATTTTCCTTTATTACCTGGAGGTATTATACATGAGGTCTAGAGCCACTTCCTATAGAATTCTACTAAATACATACTAGATATACTGGTTGATAATGTCGGGTTCTGTAATCAAAGAAAACACGATAATTTCAAAAGAAAGATCAAAAGTGCTTTATTCAAAGTAATATCCCCATCTTTCAGGTAATTGGTGGATACCATCCCAAAAGAACCTTCTTTGTTTTGAGGCAAACCATTCAGAGACCCAGTTTTCCACTTCTTCGTATGTTTTGAAGTGCTGCTCAGAAAGTGCAGGTACCATCGATTGGAACAAGTGATAATCTCAAGGAGCAAGGACTGGTGAATATAGTGGGTGGGTTAATACTTCCCAGGCAATATCTTTTTTTTAATATATTTTAATGATTTTTTACAGAGAGGAAGAGAGAGGGATAGAGAGTTAAAAACATTGATGAGAAAGAATCATCGATCAGTTGCCTCTTGCACACCCCCTACTGGGGATGTGCCCGCAACCAAGGTACATGCCCTTGACAGAAATCGAACCTGGGACCTTTCAGTCCACAAGTCGACGCTCTATCCACTGAGCCAAACCGGTTTCAGCCAGGCAAGATCTCTTAACGTGTCTTTAACTGGTTTTGAAGTGTGTTAAATTGCATCATGATGAAGCAAAATTACTTTGCCATGTCTTTTGGCCCATTCTGGTTGTTTCACAATCAAAGTATGGTTCAAATTGAGTATTTGTTGTCGATAGTGATCAGAATTAATGATTCGTATTAACGGCCTCACCTGGTTTTAGGAGCTCCTAATACACCACACAATCCTGATCCAAAAAACGCAGAGCTCTGTCTTCTTTCCAGAGCGATTTGGTCTTTGCAGTTGATGTTGATAGTTAACCTAAGTCAACCCATGACTTTGTGGGTTTGGGATTCTCAAAGTAAATCTAGTTTTCATCGCCTGTCACAATTCAATGCAAAAAGGACTTTCTTTCATGCTGTTGAAGCAACGTTTTCCTGATGACTTTTTGGTTTTCCATTTGTCTTTTGTTCAGTTGATGTGGCACAAGTTTTCCTTCCTTTAATATCTTTCCCATTGCTTGTAAATGATCAGAAATTGATTGCTCCCGGGACCGGTTTGGCTCAATGGATAGAGCGTCGGCTTGGGGACTGAAGGGTTCCGGGTTCGATTCCGGTCAAGGGCATGTGCCTTGGTTGAGGGCATATCCCCAGTAGGGGGTGTGCAAGAGGCAGCTGATCGATGACTCTCTCATCGATGTTTCTAACTCTCTATCTCTCTCCCTTCCTCTCTGTATAAAATCAATAAAATATATTCAAAAAAAAAGAAAAAAAGAAATTGTTTGCTGAGAATGTGTAATTTTTCTATAAGCTGTTTTTGAGTTTGTCATGCATCTTCATCCAATAATGCTTGCCATTGTTGGTCTTTTAACTTTTTCGATTGATCTGGATGTTCTTTTGTCTTTCAAATCGAAATCATCACTTTTAAAGTTCACAAGTATCTTGAGTTGGAGCAGGTTCACCATAAGCTTCCTGAAGTATTCAGTAGCACTTTTCTTCAAAATAATGATTGAAAACTTCCCGCAAATGCTCTTTTTTGGCATGAAATTCGACATTTTTAAGAGTAAAAATATCTATGATATTAACACCTTTAGCAAATTTGACATATGAAGTTTTGAAGCTTGTCAATACAAAATAGCATACATATCAAATCACATATGTATTAACATATGTGTAACTCCATCATTGAAAAAGTCAGCATTATTAAGGGGTACACCTAGTACACTCAATCACTATGTAGTAGAAAGCATACAAGCAGTATGATAGGCACTTGGAGGTGATAACATTTTAAAAAAAGCAGAAACACTCCTAACCCAAATTATAGTCCATACGTTTTACTCACATGTGTAATTACAATGCAATGTAATATATAAATAGGAAACACGGGGTGCTAAAAAACACAGAGAAAAGAAATTCTCACAGAGCTTTTTCTAGAATTTCCAAGTTTAAGTTAAGAAGAGCATCCTACATCATGTGTTTGATGTGAAAGTAGGAGCACAGTTGGGTTTAAAAGAAATAGGTCCTAGGCAGAAGAAAAATGTTGTTCAAGGCCCATAATTGACAGAGAACACAGACTGCTTCAGAAGCTGAAATAAGTTACCACACATAAAGTATGCAGTCCAAGTGGGGAGTCCTGAAGCATGAAACTGGTGACATATAGAAAAGACATCAGGAGAACCTGTAAGCCATACTCTATATAATCCAATTAAGTGCAATAGTGCTTCTGAATGTTTAATAAAGCTCCTGGTATGAAATAAGTGCACACTAAATTAAACATTAGTCACTTACTGTTATGTAACACTTCCCTTTTTTGCCACAATTTGAAATGAAACAATACACTAACCAAAAAATATTTTCCATATAGTTTTTCTTAGCTGGATGCAGAAAAAGTATGTAGAGAACTTATTATAAATGCTTTAGGCAGTCTGTTCTTTGATTTGTAAATGGGACAATAATACCAACCTCTCAAGCTTGTCCTAAGGACCAGAAAGAGCATGAAGAGTTCCCAGCGAGGTGTCTTGGCACATACTAATAGAATTCCTATTAAGGCAGATTGGCAGAACAGCCAGAGAAAATAGAAAGCACAAAGCTTTGGCTTCACTTTGGGATTATGCAGTAGGAATGCCTTAGAAATAACATCATCTTAGGCCTAAACTGTTTCTGAAAACAGGATATATACACCAAAAATGTTAGTTCTACTAAAAGAAACAATACTAGTCTAATGATGTGTTTATTTCTTCCTAATGTGGAATATCTTTCAAAAGAGAAAAACTGATCTTCTATAATTCATTTCCCACACAATTACCTTATATTAAAAGTATGTGTATTTCCCAAGTCCCACTGTAAAACAACTACTCTTATTTTACATATTTCTCTCCAAGTGCTTTACACACAACATTTTTCTACTCCATATTATAGTGTTTTGATTTAAGACCCAGAACAAATGGATATTGAATTAGTAATGTTTCAATAGTATCCACTTTGCCAAAGCAAAATAAGAAACTCTCTGGGTACATTTAAAACAAGACAATTTAATTGTAATTCAACTTATACTCATCCACTGAGTAACGCATTTAGGATGTTAAAAGAGGCACCCTGTATAAATTTCATATCATGTAATTTTTTTCTGATTCCAATTTATCTTAGTGTCAACCTAACATATTTATTTCTAGATACTCTTTTTTTCTCCCTAATGGTCTCATTCAAGAGTACCTTAATTATAAGAAAATTTATTGATATTAATCACAAATGGCAATAAAATACCACAATGTATTTGACAAAGAAAGCATTAATCTGTATTTTCTCTTTCTTAAAAAGCAAACAAAAAACTACATGAAATTAATTAAAAGATGATCTTAACAAAATCAAACAAATATTTTTAACACTATTATAACTACTACTAACAGAAAACTGTTGAAGATTAAGCTAAATTTACCAGGAAATACAAAGCTTAGTTAATATAAAAAGCTTTTTCTAGAATTTCCAAGTAGGAAATACTTTCACATTACCAATACAAACTATATATCCTTAGGACTTCTTACAGAGGCTTCAGAGTTACTATTCCAGAAAGAAAAAAATTTCATAGATCTTACTCAGTGTCACAAATACTACTAAATATCTGTTTAGGGTTCACATACATGCTCTCAATAATTCCTCATTATGCCTTAGGATCAATTCATCTAAATTTGATGCTAAACTTTCAATTGTCATAGAACAAGTGTTCTCCACATCAAGGTAACTTACTATGGCTTCTCAAAGACATGTCTAACTCTCCTAGTTGTCATAATCTATCATGTAAAAATGCCAAGGAATGAGCAATAATTACAATGGAACTCCAATAAATAAATAAGTTTCCAGACAAAAAACCCTAACTACTAAGTAAATCTTATGTTTTAAACTTTGAAATACAATACTATAAGGCAAAAATCAATTAAGGTGTTTAAAACAACTAGCCACATAAAAAAACATTCATAAGCTCTGTCAATCAAAAGTTAAAGAAAATGGTAAATCCAGGCATAAAATGAGCACATTCATGTCACACTGCTTTCAATACTAATTAATCAATTGATTTCAATTGATCAATTAAATTTCTTATGTAGAAATTGCCCAACTATATCATACAGCTCAAAGCTATTACATGTGTAACATCTTTCTTTGTCTTAAAAAAAAAATTTTTAAATCTCAATAAAAACCTACCTTTGAGGTTCTTTGAAGTTGGTCACCAACGTATGTTTTACGAAACTGATCCAAGAACCACAAAATTGCAAGCTCTATTTTCTCATTAGAACACTGAGGCAATCCAGTATCCATTAGTGATATAAGCTGAAAAACTCTTTTCATGAAGGAAAGAAATAAAGCTTCAGTAAAAATTCTTAGAGAAGTAACATTAAAACATTTACTGTCAATGTAATATAATACACAATTACTGTAAGAAGTGAAAACACACACAAAAACTTATAAAGAAAATATTTTTAAAACCATCTAAAATTCTACCAAGAGATACTACAATTTCTAATATTTTCCCCTAAGACACATATACCTATATACATACAAGCATACAAACCTATAGACATAGTTTTTTTTTACAAAAAGTTATATGTGGATACATATGACCTATACAAATTCTATATAATAAAAGTTTAATTTGCAAATCGACTTAACAGCGGAATGACCGGTCACTATAACACAAAGTGACCACCAGGGGGAGATGACCGGTCACTGTGACACACACTGACCACCAGGGGGGAGATGCACAATTCAGGAGTTGCCCCCTGGTGGTCAGTGCACTCCCACAGGAGGAGTGGTGCTCAGCCAGAAGCTGGGCTCATGGCTGGCTAGAGCAGCAGCGGTGGTGAGAGTCTCTCCCAACTCTGCTATAGGCGGGCGGTAAGGAGTGAGGCGATTCAGACTGGGAGAGCACCAGACTGCAAGAGGGATGTCTGACTGCCGGATTAGGCCCAATCCCTGGGGCGGACATTCCCCAAGGAATCCTGGAAGTAAGAGGACGCAGGCCAGGCTGAGGGACCCCTCCTGCTCCCACAAGGTGCACAAATCTCGTGCACTGGGCCTCTGGTATATAATATACATAAATATAAGTAAATTTCTACATTTATTATGAATATCGAGCTTAATCTTCTGGCTTTCCCAGCAACTTCTCAAAGAGGCCAGGGAACACAACTAAGAAATATGGACTAAAGTAGACTTCAACCAATTAAAATGGGACACAGATATAAGTGAACAAATTGCTTTCCCTTAATCCCCATCCCTAACCATCACAAACCACCTTGAGGCAAAGTGGTTCTGCGTGGTCTTTGGGGGAAATGCCTGTAAAACTGTCACCATGTGTGTAATGGACCACCTTACACAGTTCATTCTCTGAATTCATGGTAATTATGTTCTACAAAGTGGACGTGAAAACTGAATTAGTTAATACTGAACCACCACTCCTAAAGGAAATACAGGATTAGGTTCCTGAGGAACTATGGTCACAATATTTTTCATCAACTGATCAACACATACCTTGTTTTCTGTCTGTTTCTGCTAAGGACACCATATTTAATATATATTGTTGATTTGTTAATATTGAACTTACAGCCAATAACCCTACAACTTGCCTGAACAAAGCTCACCTAAACACACGTCTTTTCTCTGTAAGACATATTTCAGCTTTCTTGTGCTAAGAAATACTGGCCAGCACTTCAGCACTCTGCTGGAAGGGCCATTTTAAACAGCAAAACCAACAACAAAAAACAAAACCAACCACAAAAATACAAAAACAATGGCACTAAGTAGACAGCAAAAAGGGTACATTTACAGCATGGGAGCCAAAAGAAGGCAGAGCATCTGCTCAACCTCAGCTAGTAACTATGCTTAAGTCCAAGAATGACTACAATAGCACCAGGAATGCTGATTAGGGGTATAGTTAAATTTTAGCAATGACGTAAATTTACAAATATGGATTCCTTGAATAATGAAATTTGATCATATTTCCTTCCCCTTATTCTCTCATCTACTTTTCCTTCACTCTTTCTTCTCTGAAAAGGTACCCTTCTCCCCAACCCTCAAAAAGCCTTGTCCATAAACTTCACCTGAAGTTCTGTTTCCTAAAGAATGCAGACTAACACACAAAACAAATCTTATTTAAATATACATAAGTTTGCCGAGACCGGTTTAGCTCAATGGATAGAGCGTCGGCTTGGGAACTGAAGGGACCCGGGTTCGATTCCGGTCAAGGGCATGTACCTTGGTTGCGGGCATATCCCCAGTAGGGGGTGTGCAAGAGGCAGCTGATCGATGACTCTCTCTCATCGATGTTTCTAACTCTCTATCTCTCTCCCTTCCTCTCTGTACAAAATCAATAAAAATATATTTAAAAAAATAAAAATAAAAAAAATAAAAAATAAATAAATATACATAAGTTTGCTGCTGAAAGAAAAAAATTAAAATTTTCTACTTGAGAAATAACACCCTCTTTTGTTTACTTCCTATTGTATATTTCTCAGAAAAATAGTGCCAATGGTTATTTCCCTACTTGGTGATAAAAACTTATAAAAAAATCAAACAACAGTATATTTAATTTCCACTTTACTAAATCTATGATGTTATGTTAAAAGATGGTAGAGAGGCAAACTGTTCACTTAGTTTAAAATTAACCAAAGCATTTTAAGAATGTCCCCATTCATATTTTTAAATTTAATTTTATTAAAAAAAATATATATATATATTATTTTTTCTTTTTTTACAGAGAGGAAGGGAAAGGGATAGAGAGTTAGAAACATTGATGAGAGAGAAACATCGACCAGCTGCCTCCTGCACATCCCCACTGAGGATATGCCTACAACCAAGGTACATGCCCTTGACCGGAATTGAACCCGGAACCATTCAGTCCACAGGCCGACGCTCTATCCACTGAGCCAAACTGGCTTCGGCCCCCATTCATATTTTGAAGTGATTTAATATTGGCAATAATAAATGTAGAGAAACTAAAAATATTTATAACCTATTTGTATTCAAATTTCATTGATAAAAGCCAGTTTAAAGGCTGAAATGGGTATGGAATGAAGGGAAAATACAACTAAAAGAATACTTACAGTAATGCAGTTTATAATAAAAAAAAATTGAGCCTGAAATTTCCAAAATAAGGGTCTGTATAAATTATGGTTCTGTTTGGAATATTTCATATCTAGGTGAAATGTTCAGAATATTAGGTTTGATTTTTTTGAAAGCGTTTTGAGAGTTATTTTTTTTGTTTTTTTGTTTGTTTGTTTTTTAGTAAAATAGGACTTAATATTGGTCAAGAATTGTTTTAAGACCTAACAAATGTTAACTCATGTAATCCTAATAATGGCCCCAAATGAATTAGGTATTATTAATATCCCTATTTTAGTTTACAAGACAATATTATAATTTCTGTTTAAAAAGTTGAAAAATACACATGTAGTGTATTTTAGTACATATACCCTTAAGCATGAATTTTTTTTTAATATATTTTATTGATTTTTGTACAGAGAGGAAGGGAGAGGGATAGAGAGCTAGAAACATCGATGAGAGAGAAACATCGATCAGCTGCCTCTTGCACACCCCCTACTGGGGATATGCCCGCAACCAAGGTACATGCCCTTGACCGGAATCGAACCTGGGACCCTTCCGTCCCCAAGCCGACGCTCTATCCATTGAGCCAAACCAGTCCCGGCCTTAAGCATGAATTTAAAAGACTCAAGGTCTTTACCAAAATGATAGTAGTAGTTATCTCCAAATTAATATATGACTTCATTCAAATTTTTAAAGGATTTGACAAAAACTTTTTATTACTTTTTATAAAAATGCTATTAAAAATTAAAATATATGGAAAACAACTCACTCATTTCATACATACGTAGGAATTTTCCTCACTTTAGAATAGAAAAATTGCTCCTTATTAAGAGTATGGTCATGAGGTGAACAATCTAGCCAATAATCAAAAACAAAGCTTGTATTGGTAACTGACTATCCATTGTTTTTGACCAGATGTATGTCATCCCAATTTTGCCACCATCCCAATACACACCAAAATTGCATGCTTCATCAAATCCTATCAAATAAAAAGCAACCTAAATCTTAATCATACTATTTAAACACATATTAAAAATATATCCAACTATACAACTTATAATTTGACATCTACAAATCACTTAACCTCTAAACCTTGGTATTCTCATCAATAAAAAGGAAAATACCTTGCTCAAAAGGCCAGGCACAAAATGCTTTATTTAATAATATCAGTTCAGTAAATTTCTTAACTACATAGTAAATTTCTGTAAATTACATGGCCATTACTTACCGACAGGATAATTCTCCATCCATAGCATCATGTTCGTCTGTACTGGTATATGTTAATCTTCCTCCAACAACTGTCCCAACTAAGTATACTAGCCATGCAAGACGTCCTAATATATAACATGAAAGTAAAATGTTTAGGAAGTATTGCAGAAAGAAAGATTATTTTTCAGAAAATTCCACAATTAGTAAAATGATCTGTTCTTCCAAACAAGTGAAAAACTATCGGAGAGTTCGGTTTTAAGTTTATCAAGGCAGTAAGTAGAACAGTGATAGTGACAGATTTTACAGCCAGATAAAACTTTGCATCTCAGCTCTATCAATTTGTTGTGTGATGTTGAATAAGTTACTTATGAATAACAGTGTTTTCACCTGTAAAATGGAGATAACTGTAACTACCCTAAATAGTTGAATGATTAAAACTAAACTTGATAACAAAAACACAAATGTAGTGTCTAGATTCAGGGCTGTTAGTACTACTATTACCCAATCATCAGAATCTTTTTATCTGGTCATAATAGTACCAATTTGATTATTTTTAATATTACCCCTGCTTAGAATATAATAGGTGGTAGTCAATATATTCCCTGTGTATTTTCAGGTATAATTTTTAAAATCCAAGACTTTCACTGTGCAAATCAGTTTGACAACCAAATCAACTTCATGGGCAATAGCAGCAGAGGATTCAATAACCTTACAACAGTGGCAAAATGGCAATAGCTAGAGCTTTCACAAAGTTACTTTGGGGTAGCCAACACTGACAACTTAGAAACAGAGGCATTTATATTGAACTGGAGCCCAACCAGGAAATGGCCTTCCTTCCCCCGCTGCCCACACTGGCTTCCCTCCGGCCTGGGATCTGGGACCCCACTTCCCTCGGCCATTGGCAGGCATCCGGGACTGCCCTCCGGTGCCTGCAGGCAGCCGGAAGGTAGTCCCAGGACTCAGGCCTCCCTCTGGCCACCAGCAGGCACCTGGGACCTGGGTTTCCCTCGCAGCCCTGGCTTCATCCAGAAGGTCATCCACTCTAATTAGCATCTTACTAATTTTATTATTATTATAGTTCATTATAGAAGATGGTTTTTACTTAAGGCATATCATTTTACACTTTTAGATTCACTGAACTATGTATCAGATTTCCCAAAATTTTTGAGACCTTTATGAATAATTAACAATATATCAATTATCTTACTAAAAAGAAATCTTGTGATATACTTGGGGAGTGACTTTTCAAAGATGAGCAGGCCATTTCATAATACTGAAATCAATTATGTTGCTGTATTAGGAAAACTTGTCAAACTGAACTACAGTATTGCTTTTTACAAGGTATTGAACAGTAATAAAACAGACTGTGTGCTTATAAGAAGAATTAGGAAGGGTAAGTTAGGATGTTGGCAAGTATCCACATCCCTTAATTTTTCTCCATTAGAAGATCAATATTTAAAAATAGAGGCTGTATGATTTAGCTACCAAGAGCAAAGTCTGGATTCAAATCCTACCTCTACTATTATGCTAGGTACTTAATCATTCTTGGCTTTAATTTATAAATATGAGGATAATAATACCTGTTTCACATGCTTGTGACAAACACTAAATAATATTCTGTAAGTAAAATACTCTTTTCCAAAGCTAGTTACAATTAGTCATATGTACTTTTTAAATGCTGTTTGAAAAACAAGCAAACAAAAAACTAAACTTAAAAAAAAAAAAAAAATTCCAAGTAAAATACACTCAGAAAATCATTTGCTGAGTATCTACTATGTGTCCTGTTCCGCTGTAGTGTTTTAAGTAAATAGGGATAGGTATGGGGCAGGGTGAGAAGGAAAGGAGAACCCCATGCCAAAGAAATTGAACCTAGTAAGAGAGATAGGTAGGGGTATCATTGCCTAATGATAGAAAATATATTTTTATTCTTTAATTCATCTTACTCTGTGACCTTCAAATTATAACTTTCATATCAAAGAATATTATGCAACGATAGCATGTGGTTAATTGTGAGCATTTTTTTTAAATTATTATAAATTCTGAATGGATATTTACTTATTTAGAGAAAAAATAGAATATATACTTACTCTTTCCTTATTTTAGAAAACAGTGATTTCTATCATATTGAAAACAGAAAAGTTAACCCCTAGTAACAACTACTGACTGGATAAATTAGGGTTAATGTTAGACATGAACAATGAAATAAAAAGGCATTATTATTAAGCTATCAAGTGTAATTTTCATATTTCACTGAATGAAAAGTGGTATTTCTCATACATATTAAACCTTTCCCTAAACCTCAGCAATTGTAGTCTGGCAGTGTTCAAAATAACAAGTGTTAAGAAGTTACTTTGGCTACAGAATTATTTCCACAAAAAATAACCATATAAATCCACTAATCTAAACTGTATTTAGATATATAAATATCCAATACATGAGTTATATATCTATAAATTTTAAAAGTATCTCATCTTATAATAAGACTAAATTTTCATTTTAATTTTCCATTAATGTTCACTTGTTTTAGCAGCTGTTCGAGCACAGAACATTTTTTCCTTAACCAAAATAATTATTGCTGTAATAATCTGTAATTATGGTTTATAACTGCAATAATCCCAAAGAAATCAGTCATTACCCTAGATCACACGTAATCGTTAACTACTGTTAATGACCTATTTCTTAGGGATTATTGTTTTCGTAAACCATGACCACATCAACACAAATATGGAAGAGCAAGACAATACAATACAAATGAGATTATAATACAATAATAAACTTATTTTGTAACATTAAAAGCCATTAAGCATCTAAATTAAGGCAGATATAACGAGAGCATATAATTTTCTTTGTTCAACATTAACTGAAGTGTTTAGTCTGCACAAAAGAAATTGAATACTACTATGTACAGTAATACAAACTAGAGCCATGTTGGGTAATTTTAATAAATAAAACAATAATTTTTTAGTAGACCATAGAAATCTTTAAAAGGTGGACAAATTTCTTCCTACTGACCTTTTGACAAAAAGGAAATATATTTATTTAAAATTTTCTATGTATGAGGAATATTAGAGACTTTGAAATGGCATTTTATTAAAACTACATAATATACCTAACTATAAAAACTCCTTAGATTTATATTAATCAAAAATCAAGTTGGAGTTATTTATTCAATATACAAAACTATTTAACATTAAATTATTACTATTCAGTTAATTTCATCAATATATCTTAGAACAGCTAATATCCTTTTGTAAGAAATATTCTTTTGTAGAAAATCAGGTCTTTGATTTCACAACTGAATCTTTTTCCATTACAATATAATATTTATATATATGAAAAAATGTCTTTGTATATGAAGTGCAATAAAACAAACACCTGTGAACCAAGGCTTTACCAATATACTCACTCCTAAAGTCACATCCCTCCCGCAGCTTGTCTCCTTACCTCCCACTCTGGAGGTAGCCAGGATCCTGTATTTGAAGCTTACTATTCTCTTGACATTTTCTTTCATTATATCACTTGAGCATATCATTATATGTTCCAAAACAATATATTTTTAGGATCCTTGTTTTGAGGCTTTATTAAATATTTCAAACTAAATTATAGTTTCCTAACAATTGCCCTTCCCCAAATATCTTATCTCTAACATTCATCTTTAAGTATACCTACAGCTCATTCATTTCATTGTTATATAGTATTGCATTGTGTAACAAATTATTTGCAGTCTTCTACAACAAAGAAGAAAACATGATCAATTACATCAGTTAAAAGCCAGTTATAAGATAATAAACTCTACTCGTTATCAGCTTTTCTAGATACTGATTCCAGAGAAAAATATTTCCTGTAAATCATAAAGAAAACTAAAAATTAACCATCAAGCCATGAAAATATCCAAAAGGTTAAAAAAAAAATGAATGTTTATGGGGGAGGAGGGCTTGAGAAATTGGGGAAAATATATAAAAATAACTTGCATAAAATTACTACAGAGATTAATGAAGCTACTTAAAATTACACATACCATATAATAGTCAGATAAAATTCACTGACCTTCCTGAATTGCCATGTCTACCGTTATCCCAGAAGCAGAATGCAGAAGCTTTTGGTAATTCTGTGCATTTTGGTCAAACAGCTGGACAAGAAGAGTGCATGTCTTCTCATATTCACATCTGCTGACAGTGCATAGCTGCTCCAACTGCTGAAAGACAGTGGCAGTATCATCCAACGGATCTTCTAAATTATCTCTGCAAATATATAAAAACAAGTTGCAGGCATTAGTGTGATGTACTTTTATTTATCACAAATATACTTTATTGATGTTACATAAAATTCCATAATGGATAAAGGAATGAAAGACAAATAGATTGGAAGAAATAAAATGTCTATATTTGAAAATAACATGATTGCATACATTAAAAAAAACACCCCCCAAAAAAATACTCGTATTAGCAGGTGAGTTTACCAAGATTCTGACATACAGAATCAATATATAAAATTTAACTGTATTACTACATACTAGCAATGAAAAATTGGAGATTAAAATTTAAAAAACAGTATCTTCCAAAGGCACCAGAAAAAATAAACCATTTAAATCTAATTAAATATATGTAAAATATGAAGGCTGAATACTACAAACACTGATAAAAGAAATTAAAGAATTAAATATATTAAAAAATAAACATGGTTACTGGCTGAAAGACTTGATATTTCTTAGATATCAATTCTTCCCCTAAATTAATATACAAATTCAATGCAATCCCAGTTAAAATTCCACCAGGATCTTGTAGATACTACAAGATAATTCTAAAACTTACATGGAAAAAAAAAAAAAGGAAGTAAAAGAGCCAAAATACTTTTTTGGACTCCTGTATTTTCATAAAAATTTTATAGTCATATATAATACACATACAGAAGAGCTCACTAATCACAGGTGTACAGCTTGATGAATTTTACAAAGTGAACACACCAATACGACTGGCACTCGGAACAAAAACCAGCACATTTCTAGTTCCTCAGAGTCCTCCTTATTGCCCAGAAGTCCCCTTTTATATACCTAAAAGAGGAGTAATTAATTTGGCCTGATTTTGTACCTCATGGATGTTGTACAGTGTACTATTTTATGTCTGCCTTCCTTTGCTTACTATAATGTTTGAGGGATTCACCCATATTATTGCAAATAATTATGGGAGATTTATTCTCACTAGGGCTAAAATAATTTTTGAAAAGGGAAACCGAGGTGGAAGACTCATACTACCTGATTTCAAAGCTTATTATAAGACCACTGTATTCAAGATAGGGTATTGGCAGAAGGAGAAACAGTTAAATTAATGAAAAGAGCATCAAGAAACGGAATCACATGTATGCGGTCAATTAATTTTTGAAAACAGTGCAATGGCAATTCAATGGAGGACAGTCTTTTTTGCAAATGGTGTTGATATAATTGGCCATCCATATGCTAAACAACAACAGAAACCTCAAGCCTTACCTCACATCCCCAAAATTAACTCAAAATGATCAGATCTAAATGTTAGAAGAAAAAATAAAGGATAAATTGGACTTCAAACTTTAAAACAATTTATCTTTGAAAGACCACTACGGAAATAAAAAGACAAGCTATGAACTGGGAGACAGTATCTGAAAAACACACATGATAAAAAGACTTGTGATCAGAATATACAGACCCCCTCAAATCTCAATATAAGAAAATAAACCCAATAAAAAATGAGCAACAGACTTGACAGGCATTTTCCAAAGAATACATACATATGACAAATAAGCCCATAAAAAGATGACCAGCATTATTATTCATTCAAGGAGTCAAATTAAAACCACAATGAGGTACCACTACATACCTTATGAATGACTAAAATTTTTAAAGACTGATAATATCAAGTGCTGGTGAGGATGCAGTGCAACTGAATCTTTCATACATTGCTGGTGGGAATGCAAAACGATACAGCCACTTTGCGAAAGAGTTTGGCAATTTCTTACAAAGTAAAACACACTTACTATGCATTCTAGGAGTCTCATACCTCAGTACTTACACAAAAGAAACAAAAATTTATGTTAATGCAAAAGTCTGTACAGGATCATTTATAGCTGTTTTATTTATAATTGATAAAAATGAAAACCACCCAAATGTCCATTCAGATGTGAATGAATAAACAAATTGTGATCATCCATAAAATGGAATACTATACTGCAATGAAAAGAAAACAACTACTAACCCAAGCTGGAGGAATCCTAAGTGCACTATGCTAAGTGAAAGAAGCCAGATTAAAGGCTATCTACGGTATAATTTCATTCATATAACATTCCGGAAAAGGCAAACAGTATAGGGAAACAAGCCAATCAGCAATGGCCAGAGGCTAAGGGTGGGGAAAGAAATGACTACAAAGGGACCACAAAGAACTTTTGGGGGTGATGAAACCATTCTATATCTTAATTGTGATGGTATAATAGTTATACAACTGTATGCACTTGTCAGAACTCATAAAACTGTACACTAAAAAGGGTGAATTTTACAGTAGGTAAATTATTCCTAAATTTTTTAAATTCCAAGATGCAAAAGATGAAAATACAACAGAAAGATTTAGTTTTCAATACCTCACAACTATGGCAACAGATTCCAACCGAGAAGTGATAAAGGCCTTCGTGATTTCTGGTGCATAAGTGTCTAATAAGTGGGGTTCAGTTGATTTCACAAAAGGAACTGAAGCTACCATCCTTTGCCACAGAGTTAATAAATAATGAACACTGTTGGGAGCAAATTCCCAATGCTACAAAGAAATAAAGCAAATGTTATTTAAAATGACATATCTTCCCAGAATAAGAATTACAGAGGCAAAATTACTAAACACATACTTTTAAATTAACTTTCAGATTATATAACCAACGAACACTTAATGTAGCACATTTTGAAAATGCAAAAACGTATAAAAGAAACTAACTATCTCTCATTACTGTATCACCCAGAAATGATCACTATCAAAATGTTCATAACTTCCTTCTAATCTTATTTCCATGAATAGTTTTTCACAGAGGTGATATCATGTGGAAAATATGGTTTCAAAACCTTTTCCTAAAATTAAAAATAGAATTTTCCCTAAAACTGATCTGTAAAAACTTTTATATTTTTTCACATAGATTTTACTACAGCTTCTCAATTATTCTGCAATTATTAGATACTTGAATGGCCTCTAAATTTTTATTATAAAATGTTTAATGAATTTTTTAACCTAAAACCTTGCAATGAACATTTTTAGCAATGTACTCTAATAGATATTTTTTAAATCCCCACCAAATTTTTGCAAGAAATTGCTTTAAAAACTACAGTTTAAACTACAGTTTAATATCAATTATAAATTTCTATTTACCTGTAGGCTAGTAATGGTAAAATTAGCAATCAATCTGATAACTTCAGGATACTCCTTCACCATAACTAACTCTCCCAGCTGATAATTTGTCTTCAAACGAGCCAAAAATCGACAAAATTCATGGTAATTACCTGGATCAGACAATCCCTAAAATATGAGACAAAAGAAAGGCTTTTAAAAATACTTAAAACAAACCAAGCTGATGACCATCAATAAAATTCCAAGAGTATTTTATTAAGTCTTCTAGTTTTCATGAGCACTTATGTTATTTTGTGTCAATTGGTAAACACTAATGAAAGAAAACAATTTTTGCTGGATTTAATGTTGTTATAAATTTTTTAAAAAAATATTTTTTATTGACTTTTTACAGAAAGGAAGGGAGAGAGATAGAGTTAGAAACATCGATGAGAGAGTCATCGATCAGCTGCCTCTTGCACACTCCCTACTGGGGATGTGCCTACAACCAAGGTATATGCCCTTGACCGAAATCAAACCCGGGACTCTTGAGTCCGCAGGCCTCAAGATACTCTATCCACTAAGCCAAACCGGTTTCGGCACGTTGTTATAAATTAATAAGGAATCCAAAGTAGAGAGTTTGCAGGAAACTTTACACTATGATGGCTAAATTATGTTTAGGAACTCATTATATTACACAAAAAATGTGTGTGTGTGTGTGTGTGTGTGTGTGTGTGTGTGTGTTGTGTCCTAAACATAAAGTTAATAGAAGATTTGAAAAATATTTGAGAAAGAAAATCCTATATAATGAAAGCCTAATATGTTAAGTGTTTGGTTGTGCAGAAGGCCATTTAACCAATCAAAGCATTATATGCTAATGATATGCTAAGGTCACTCAACCATTCACCATGACGTGCACTGACCACTAGGGGGCAGATGCTCCAAGGGGTAGGTGAGCTTGTTGCTGGGGTTCGGCAGATCAGGACTTAGTGAGAAAGGCCAGACATGCCCTAAAGCCTTCCCACACACAGTCCCTTCCAACCTCCCCCATCATTCCCCCGCCCAAAACGTGCACCAGTGGGGTCCCTCATTGGCTTGTGCCCTCTCGCAATCCGGGGTGAGGAACATCCTCCCCCTAGTGCACAAATTTTGTGCACTGGGCCTCTAGTCTATAATAATAAAAGACTAATATGTTAATTAGACCAGAGAACAGAACTACCTCCCGGACAAAACAGAGGTGGTTAGGGAAGATCAGGCAGGCAGGCAAGCAGTTATGGGTAATCACGTAGACAGGTGAATGGTTAGGGACGATCAGGCAGGCAGGCCGTGGCGGTTAGGTGTGATCAGGCAGGCAGGTGGTTAGGGGCAATCAGGCAGGCAGGCAGGCAGGCCAGTGATCAGGAGCCAGTGGTTCCAGATTGCGAGAGGTATGTCTGACTGCCAGTTTAGGCCTGAGAGGTCCCAGACTGTGAGAAGGTGCAGATTGGGCTAAGGGACCCCCAACCCATGCACTTTTGGTGCACTGACCTCTATAAGAATATAAGAATAGCCTCTAGAAATCCTAGAAAAGAGCAATCCCACCCCACCTTAAAAAATAGTGTACGTGCACAAACAAATAACAAATTTATTTTAATTCAACAATTTTTGTTGAATACCTACAAGCACTGTGCCCTCATGCATCTTCCACTTAGTAGCTAAATGAAGAGTCATTCAAATAATTTACTGTCATGTAGGACACAAAGTTTAACAAAAATAGCACAAGATACAGAAATAACTTTTAAAGAAGGCTCGGTTAAAAGGAAAGGCAAAAAGAGGTGTGCCCAGTTGTCTGTGAGCACCTTGAAGATAAGGGGAAACATGTTATGATCTTGATAGTTTGGCACTTTGCTCTGTAGCTGGCATGAAACAGAATTCAAAAAGTATTTGTTTAATACTGAAGGAATTTATAAGAAATTTCATTCAAATGAGCTCAAGGAAAGAACATAACATAGTGTCAAATTATTAAGGACAAATTGCAAAATGATATTTTGTGCTCACAGGTCTTTTAAGGCATGTTTGTAATTCCAAAATAATCAATATAATATTTAAACCAACTTTTACTGCCATGAAACATCAACATTTAGATGTTAAACCAATTAAGAAAATTATCTGATATTAGCATATTACCCTCTACATATTGATTGATGATAGAATTAAAATTTTTTAAAAAAATTTGTTTATTGGTAAAATTTCATTTTTCAGCAAAACACATTTTAGTTATAATAAATTGAATAAAGTAAAGCAAATGTGCAATATATAGGACAACTTGCAAGAACAATTTGTACATATTCTTTATGTACAAATATTATGTCCTCTCAAAATTAGTAGTAACCAAGAGATTTATATAATCTTCCTTAAATTCCTCATTTAACCCTTTAAAATCTACACTTTTGTTACAAATATTTTAAACTAAAACAAAAAGTGAAACAAAAAATTTTATGTAGGCATGCAAAATCACTAATTAATAATGACTTTGCAATTCTTTTTTTTTTTTTAATTTTGGTTGTTTTTGTTTTACATATATTTAATTGATTTTTTTACAGAGAGGAAGGAAGAGGGATAGAGTTAGAAACATCATAAGACAGAAATATCTATTCAGCTGCCTCCTGCACACTCCCTATTGGGGATGTGTCCGCAACCAAGGTACATGCCCTTGACCAAAATTGAACCTGGACCCTTCAGTCCTCAAGCCGAAACTCTATCCAATGAGTCAAACTGGTTAGGCTGCAATTCTTTTAAATGAATATAGCAATTGAAGCTTTGCACTTAGTGTAGAAAGTAGATTTTACAATCTACAAACTTTTATTTGTCCACAAGAGGGCAAAAAGACATTATCTCATCATTTAAAGCCATTTATTCCAATATTAACATTCAGATTTATATTGTCTTCTAAATCAGAAGGTAGATATAATCTGAATTAATCAATTCAAAACATGCCCATTTCTACACAAAAGAACTATAAGGAAGATGAATATACTTCATATTTTCTTATAGAATCATAATAAAGAAGTGAGTTTATTATGCACCTTTCAGCAGGAAAACTGTATTTCTATACGCTAAGTATTAATTTGGTTTCTTCATAAATACCTGAGGGTTTTCAAGTATCCGTTTTACTCCCTTAATTAAATTAGCAAGGTACTTGGCACGTTCAGGACTGCTGAATAAGGACCTTCTAGTAGAAGCAAACTGAACTAAACATGAAAGCGCCTAAAAAAGGAAACAAGAGTCATTTCAGTTTTAAAAGTAACTATGGCCACATTTGTCTCTACATAAAAAATATTATTTTTTAATTTTTGCAATTGAAAAAGCATTCTAAAATTCAAAAACAATAAAAACTAAAAACCTGACCTATCTAATCTATTATACCTCCACCACTGACAACTCTTCAACCCCACATTAACATTTCTATAGGTGTATATTATCTTCTACTATTTTTTCATGTTATACTAGAGGCCTGGTGCACTGGATTCATTCACTGATGGGGGTGTGGCCTGTGGGGATTGACCAGCTATGGGAGCACGGCTAATCCAGGTCAGCCAAACGGCATTCCCGCTTGGGAATGCTCTGACCACCAGGGGACAGCGCCTGTATTTAGCGTCTGCTCCCAAATGGTCTGTGCGCATCATAGCGACTGGTCCACCGGTCATCCTGGTCATTCTGTCATCCAGTCAGTGGGCTTTTATTATATAAGATACTGGTGACCCAGTGAATGAAATTCATGCAGAGGAGAGGAGGAGCCCTCAACCCAGCCTGCACCCTCTCCAATCTGGGACAATTAAAAAATTGCCCAATTGCTGGCTCCTAACTGCTTACCTGCCTGCCCACTTGACCTCAACTACCCCCCAACTGTCCCACTTGCCCCCAACTGGCCCCTGTTGCTGGCCTGCTCACCCTCCTACTTCCCCACCACTGCCAGCCTGATTGGCCCCAAGTGACACCCTTCTGCTGGCCTGCTCACCCACAACCTCCCCCTCTGCTGGCCTGATTGCCCCCAACTGGCCCCCCTGCCGACCTGCTCATCTCCAACTTTCTCCACCACCAGCCTCATCACCCCAACTGTCCTCCCCTCCTGGCTTGATTACCCCTAACTGCCTCTGCCTCGACCCTGCCACTTAGACTTTGTCTGGGCAGCGGCCATGGAGCCGGTTAGAGCGACCAAGGAAGCCAAACCTCCCACTCGCTCCAGCCAGCTCCGTGGCTCTTGGTTACACTACCATCTTTGTCACAAGTGATGGTTAATTTGCTATTACTCTTTTATTAGCTAGGATGCCCAGAGCAATCCCTGGACACAGACACGCAAAAGGCTTTCAACTACTTCTGAGGACCAGTTCTTTTGTGAACCCGTGATCCAGGTGTTCAACCAAAAAGAAAATATGGTTTTGTGATAGAATATACAAGTTATGCACTATGGTATCCTGCAAATGGAGGAAGCTGAGGAACTGAATCCAGCAAGTCCCAAATTTACTGGGTAACAGAATATTCATTGATATCTCGAGGAACAATTTGGAATTGCTGCAGGAAGAGTTAGATGCTTTATAAAAATGCCTACCAAGTAGTTATGACCTAGTTATCTCCCTAAAGTTAATACTTTACCACGTAATTTCACTACCTGGCTTAATTCCCCCACTGGTGCCACTGAAATCTGCTGGACCATTAAATGAAAGGCCCCAAATTGGTAACTTTTAGGTCAAACTGGCCCTTATGTTTTTGTCTACATAACATTTGCTTGCCTGATTTAAAAAAAAAAAAAAATACAATTTGTGCTGATATTTAAATATTTCCATTTCACACATAGTGCCTGGGTCTCTTGGCAAAGGTGATAATAAGGACAAAAATCAGAGGATGGCATTTTCAGATGTTCTCCAGTTTGCCTTACTGTTGAAAAAACCCAACCAACAAACACAAAACAAAACAAAACAAAACAAAACAAAACAAAACAAACTTATTAGGCAATTGTGATGTGTGGAAGGTTTGGGAACTGTTAGCACATTAAAAATATCCATGATTAGGAGTGCCCAAACATGGAGGTTTGAATCTCAGCTCCCATCGTTTGTTTATTGCCCTGAGAAAGTCACCTTTGCCAGCGTAGTTTCCAGGCTACACAGGGTAATAATACTGCAGGGCCACCTTGAGGATAAAGTGACATAAGCACCATATGTTTACAGGGCATGCCCAATTAATGTTACTTTCTCTTAAAGCCATTATATTCCATTTTATTTTTAAGCATCAAAGGCTTGTTTTGTCCAAAATATAACTGTACACACAAGGATGGTTGTAAACAACTAAAAACAAGACCATTTTGGTTAAAAGACAGAAGGCTGAAGCTTGGAGGCACCACCTGGATACATGAGTGTCCTCTGAAACCTTGTTTCAAAATCACTAACTTAAAATCCCAGCTTCAAGAGCATACACTTTAAAGAAAAAGGAAGGAAGGAAGGAAGGAAGGAAGGAAGGAAGGAAGGAAGGAAGGAAGGAAGGAAGGAAGGAAGGAAGGAAGGAAGGAAGGAAGGAAGGAAGGAAGGAAGGAAGGAAGGAAGAAAAGAGTATTTTTGTGAATCTGTTTCTTCCTTCTAGGCAACAACACATCTAAAACAAAACACCGATATGCACTTTAAGTTGGGAACATCTTTTCCAGGAAATGGCAATATTAGAATTCCCAACTTTACTTCTACAAGCTTAGATATTAAACTAACAACTTTTTATTTTTTTTATTTTTTTTTGTGTCCAATCTTTCCTGGTTTCTGTTTTAGATTCCACAGGATGAGATTCATAGTCTCAAAGATCTAGTATATAATCAAAGAATTTCAAGAATTGTTAAATCACATAATAGAATTGGATTAAAAAATTTAACAACTGAAGTAATGAGCACAGAATCAAGTGAGCAGGTCTCTGTTTCTCATCAGAGATATCTGATGGGGACTGCCTGGCACTCTGGAGACCTGGACACAGGCAGGGCTGGGAAACAGCTAGGAAGAGGGTAAGAGAAGGGAAGGTAACTGATGGGGTGGCCAGTTACTGGACTGGAACCCAGAAAGAATGGGACTGAGTAGGAAGGAAGATATACTTAGGTTGACATGCTATGCTGGCTCTGGGCAGGAGCTAAGTATACAGTAAATGGCTCTGGGATCACCCATGCAATGGAATGCACTGTTGACTCTGAGCAGAATCTGACAAACAGCTTCAGCAATACAAATCCCAGAAATGTAACTTTCCTGTGAGAGGTAAACCCAACCAAGAATATAAGTAGAATTTTTAAAAGTAAATCTGTAACAACAGTATATAAAGATCACAGATATTTTTTAATGAAAGGATAAATGATTTTTACTTACTAACTGAGACAGTAGTGGCGGAAGTAAGTGATACAAATTGAAGAAAAGATCCAATGTTTCTGGTTCCAGAAAAACTAGAAAAAAAATTATTTTGTAATACCATTACTAGAACTCTAAGGCCTCTGTATGTGGCCATTCTTCCTAATTCGGCTTATTTTCTTTTGAAAGATGAAATATAGTGGAATCTTGTTTCTCAAACATCTCCTATCTCAAACAATTTGCTTTTCAACCTGACGATCTTTCATGCTGATACCTGTGTGATCCGGTGGCAAACAAGTACATAGGGATAAATTTCAGGAGAATTTGCAAGTCTGATAATGCCTTCATTCTATCTTATACTTGGAGAAAATAGGAGAATCTGAGTCAGTTTACCACTGTTAAAATCTCAGGATATTGTGCTTTGAATATTTTCGGGGTTTCTGTGGGTTTTTATTTTGCTGCTTATAATTATTGTTAAATTTTCACTTTTACTGTGTATTTCTTTTCCTTTTTGTTAAATTTTCATTTACATTTCATGTCTTTTGTTTTCCAACTTTTTATTTATAGATTAAACAGTACAATAGACATGTTTTATATATCAGAAAGGTTAAAACAGGGAATCATTTAGGAGTCTGAAACAAATGATTTACATGATTTCTAATGGGAGAAAAATGATTGTATTCCAACAGCATTTGGAGTGAATTAAAATCGAGAAACAAGTTTTCACTGTAAAACAGAGATAGAAACTAATTAACTAAGGTGTTCCTTATTTCTATGTAGTATCTACAGTTCTTACTGGGAGAACTGTCTTAATATTTTCATTTGTATTAAAATAGTATAAACATTTAAAACTTCAAATAGAGCCAAAATAACTAAAAAAATTTTAAAATAAAAAATAGCTATACCCTACCCCACTTCATATCTTTCAGCTCTTAGCAATATTTACATACATATTTCTAAATAGCATGCTATATACTATTTCTTTATTCATTTTACTTTAGGCATTTAATGAATTTGTGACAGTACACATATGGCTTTCCTCACCCCACACCTTCCACAATTCATCCTCTTAAAAATCCATCCACTATTACACCAATTTGGGATTAAATCAATTCTAAGTGTTTATATTTATCATTATTATGTAAACAATGTTAAGAGCTGAGCCACTATCCTTATATCACATTTCTAATACTCTCTGGATTTAATCATAGCATCGTTTCTGTGCTTATTTGTCTATCTGTCACTAATTCTTTACAAATGTTCTGACAGATTTGCAAAATGTTATTCATGACATTTTCCATATGATTCATAATATCAAATAACCTATCTTTTTCATTTTCCCACTGCTACTTCCCAGAGCCGTCAACATGGACTGGTTATTCCTAAATTTGTAGCATAATTACCTCGCGTTATATCTGTACATTGCCATCCTGAGTTGAGGCTCCCTTTTCCCAAACCCCGAATCTTTCACTTTTTTGGCTTGTATATTAACAAACTTCTTAAGATCAAGTGCATAAGGGATTAGTTTCAAGAGAATTTGCAAGTCTGATAATGTCTTCCTTCTACCTTTTACTTGACAATTTCAGTCTAGATTGAAAATAATTTTCCCTCAGAAGTTTTAGAATATTACTCCACTGACTTTCTAGCTTCCAGTGCTGCTGTGGGGAAGTTTAATAACATCCTTGATCCCAGTCCTCTGTAGGTGACTTAATTTTTTTTCTTTCTGGTAGTTTTTAGGATTTTCTCTTTACCCTTATTATTCTGAAATGTCATAATTATGAAGCTTGGTGTATTTTTTCCATTCATTTTGTTAGGTACTTGATGGGACCTTTCAATCTCAAAATTTATGTCTCAGTGCTACAGACATTTTTTGTATTACTTGTTTGCAAATTTCCTTTGGGGGAAGAGAGGGAAAAGGCAGTAACCTAGCTGCGCACGTGGTAGAGATTCTGGGGAGTTTGTGCAGAACTTTTTACCAAGCCTGTTCAGCCCCATTCTACGTTATATTTGACTATTTCAGTCTGACTTCAGGAATACCCTAGTGCCATCATCTTTCTGGGATGTGTGAGAGCAAATCAGCTTGCTTTTCTTGGTAACCCTCTGTAAGAAAGTAAGTTGCAATTCTGCTTTGCTTAGTCAGTTACTCTTTTCACTCTCTTTATAGCTTTGAAAAATATGTTGATATCTGTTGTCAAGTGTTGTTTCCTCCCGTTTTATCTGAAAGTTTCAAAACAGAACTTTTCATTCCTCCCGCCCGCCCAATCCCCCCCCCCTCCCCCACACACAGACACACACAAACCTGTTTTCCCTCTATCTCTAGAGTGGTCTTTTCTTTTTTCCAAAATCAAAACATGGAAGTTACTCTGTTAATTGGGGAAAACAGCAGCTACTTTGGATTACAAATCCATTTGAACTTCTTGACTGCCTAGCAGAAAATACAGATAACTGTACATATGCAACTACATTGCTTAATCCTGTGCCTTCTATGCTGACTGTCCCTCACAGTAAACGTTTTTCTTACTTGTTCTCCAGGTGGTTGGGATCTGCACTGTGCAAAGATCATCTGCAGATTCATCTGCTGAACTGCCAATGAAGTCGAAGTTAAGGCAGTTGAGGACCAGTTTCAAGACCTGCATTACTAGGTTTTGTTGACCTTCATCCTGAAGATTTAAAGGTTTGGCCAACACCTGAAAAAAGTTCAAAGTCAAATATAACTTTCTAAAATATGTCAATAAACAAATTTTCACTAATTTAAATAATTCTTTAATGCCAAATTAAAATTAGTTAAAAAAAATAAAGGGTTTGAAAGTTATGTTGTTGTACATATTAGAAAAAATGTAAATCACTATAAAGTCTACAATAGACTATTTTCATAATTTTGTGAAATAAGCCAATCAATGAAAGAAAAATACCACATGATTTCACTCATTTCACAAGGATAATAAAAAATTTTACTCTTAACTGTATCGTGTAGGTCATCTTGTAAAGTTTTAAGAGGTAACAAATACTTTATACAGCACAAATGTACAAATGTATGGGATTCATTGAAAAAGTTGAAACATTCTTTCAGGCATAATTATCCCTATTCGGCTGGGAAAGGTTCTTGAAGCTGTCTGAGTGTGGGAGGACACTCACAAGCTTCCAGAGACCAATCCTGACCTCCGCCACCCCAAAAATGTCCCTCCTTACACAACCAGAATAGATTTACCTCCTAGAGATACATCACAAAATATGTGTGGAGAAAATGATATAGTCTGGCATTCTGCTTCAAGAATAACACAAAAAGAAATAGGCTAGGGATAGAACTGAAACAAGACTGGTTTAACCAATTACTACCAACAGGTTTAAGATTTATTATTCCATCTTCTTTCCTACATTTTAAAATAATAGGACCTTTCAGTCTGGCCTCCTATGGGAGTTATCATGTTACTAAATTGCATAACTGAAATAAGTACAAAATAGTGGTTAGTGGAACGTATGTTGGGAAATGCTGTACTACCCAATTAGCAAGCTTGAGCATAATGGAAGCCTATAAGAGAAAACACAATAGAATCATAAATCCTACTATCCCTAATGACCAATATGGCACGAAGTAGCAAATGGGAAAATATTTCCCTAAGAAATTATTGAAGTCAACTATGTTGGCTCAACCATGAATAAATATTGACAGCTGATGAATTAGGAAAACCTGTCATTTCATTGTTTAGCTACACCCCATTAAAATATGGGTAGGGCAATAAGGAAACTAAGTCACAATTAGTTAGCTTCTGCAGTAAATAATCTATAGTAAAAAGACAATAAAACTACTGTTTTATTGACAAGTTATTCAATGCTCTTTGGATTTTACTTTACTATATTCCTAGTGAGTAAAGGTGGATTTTGTGGAACCTCTTACAGATTTGTGCAAATCTATATTAAGATTGCCTACAACTCTTCAATAGGCAAAATGGGGATGGAGGACTCATTTGAAATTCTTTTGAAACTTAAAATTTCCTAAATACTCTAATAGGATATTGCATTACTAAATAACTTACCTCTTTTAGAAGAGAACATGCTAGCGCTAAGATGTCTTTGAGAGAAGTGTCACGAAATGAGGTAGCTATTTTCCTGTGTTTTGCTGAAGGTCTAGAATAATCAACCTAAAAAGATCAAGATGAATTTATTTGACCAGACTTACCAAATAGCAAAACAAAACTTACTAATTAAGAAAAGGGATGAAAATAATAATTAAAGAATCATAAAATATCAAGCTAAAAGGAATTTTAAAAATCTACTGAGCTAAGTGACTTACTTAGGGTTTCTAAAAAAGTTAATGGTAGAGCCATGGTTAGAACCCAGGTTTCTGGATTGTTTTAATTCAATGCTCTTTCTACAAACTATACTGATTCCAAAATTAAAGACCAGAATTGGCTATACTTTCAAAGGCAATATAAACACATCTGTACCTATATATATAAAAGCCTAAGTGACCATTCGACTGGTAGCAATGATGGGCACTGACCACCAGGGGCAGACACTCAACACAGGAGCTGACGAGCTACAGTGACTTGGCAGCTGTGGCTTTCGGGTGATAAACCCAGAACCAGAGAGGAGGGAGCCCAACTCTGGGGTGCATCACCTGAGAACTGCCCTCTTGCATTCCAGGACCCCTCAGGGGATGTCAGAGAGTTGGTTTCAGCCCGAACCTTGCAGGCCAGGCCAAAGGACCCCACCAGTACATCATAACAGACAGATACTATCAACTCCTGAACCATGTACCATATTTCACATTTAAGTAACAACTTCCCAGTTCCTCAGACTCAATCTTTAAAATGAGAAATCTCTAAGATGATCTTTAAATTCTAACTTTATGTATATCAGCAAACTGAATCAGTTATATAAAAATTATTCCATAGAAGTGATATTTCTATATTCTCTCTTAATACTTTATTAATGATAAATAATCATTAAGGATAAATTTACTAAGATTAGTTCTTAAACCTCTAAAATATATATGGTCGGGAGAGGAGGAGAATGCTAAGATACGTACACAAATAATAATTTAATTAAAAATACATAAATAAATACATAAATTAATAAATAAAACATACATGGTCAAAACAATACTATTAATATCATTAATATTTCCATTCATCAATAGAAAACAGCAGCCGAAACCGGTTTGGCTCAATGGTAGAGCATCGGTCTGCGTACTGAAAGGTCCCAGGTTCGATTCCGGTCAAGGGCATGTACATTGATTGCAGGCACATCCCCAGTAGGGGGTATGCAAGAGGCAGCTGGTCGATGTTTCTCTCTCATCGACGTTTCTAGCTCTCTATCCCTCTCTCCTCCTCTCTGTAAAAAATCAATAAAATATATTTTTAAAAAAAATAGAAAACAGCAAAGTGAAGTCTGAAACCTGAAAAATTATAAACACCATGGATTAGAGCATTCCTTTTGCTACTTGGTACAATAAACCACTTTCTTTGCTTATTTTATTGGAGTATTCATTTAGACATTCAATTTTCTGAGATGAAAAATTGTGGATCCATTTTATACTACATACCTATATGCCTTTACCATGTAGGCAAAGGATATTTCACTATTTGATGATTATATATTGAATACACTCAAGGTATAAAATTTGGTTCTGCAAAAGAATAAGACTGGCTAGTATGACTCAGTGGTTGAGTATCAACCCATGGTAAGTAAATGTCAAGTGGAGATAAAAACTAGCTTGAAAGGATTCCTGCTGACCAAATTTAGGAAATTGTGAGCATCAAAATATGTCAATAACAAATTATAACCTGTTAAATAAAACAGGAAACTAAGAAACCATAAAAATATATATAAATGAATAAATTGAAACTGGTGAAAAATGAGGTATTTTCAGAGTTTTAAAGTATCTTTCCATAAAATACTTATTATTTACAAAGGGGAAAGAGTAAATCCACAACTGGAGATGCCTGATAGAGACAGTCTTAATCAAGTGACCAAAGTGAACATCATTAGTAAAGTAATAAATCAAATCATTTGTTTCTAGGCAGGTGACATTGAGAAGACCACAGTGTCACTTTGCTATATTCTTAACAAACATATATAATCAGAATCTAATAATGAAGAATCATCAGACAATCCCAAATTGAGGGACAAACAACTAACTTTCACAAATTTCAAGATCTTGAAAGTGAAGGAAAGATAGAGGAAATTTTCCAGATTGATGGAGACTAATAAAACATGTTTAATAAATGAGATGCATGATCCTACCCTGGTTCTTTTCTGGGACAAATGGTGAAATTTAAATGAGGATAACAGGAATATGTCATTTAATTTTCTAATTTTAATGGTTGTATTATGGTTATGTAGGAGAATGTCCTTGAGTGTAAGAAATACACAAAAGTATTCCGGGGCCATGTCAGCAACTTATTATCAAATGGTGGTTGAAAAGAAACTTTTTTGTATTATACTCCCAAGTTTTCTAAATAAAGTTTAAGATAGTTATTTAAAAAAAAAAAAAAAAAAAAAAAAAAAAGCCAAAACCGGTTGAACGTCGGTCTGCGGACTGAAAGGTCCCAGGTTCGATTCTGGTCAGGGGCATGTACATTGGTTGAAGGCATATCCCCAGTAGGGGGTGTGCAAGAGGCAGCTGGTCGGTGTTTCTCTCTCATCTTTCTAGCTCTCTATCTCTCTCCCTTCCTCCCTGTACAAAATCAATGAAATATATTTTTTTTAAAAAATATATATATATATATAAAACAACACACAAAAAAACAACTTGTGTGCTCTCTGAATCATACTTTTATTAGAACTCTGCATTACCTGATCTTATCTTAGTAACAATCTACACACAGAAAACCCTGACTACCAGGGCAGTCTGTAGTCCTATCTTACTATGAAGTAGGAAATGGAAAAAGTAAATGCTGGTGTTTAAGATGAACAAAAAGCTGATGGTGGTGTAAGCTAGATAATGGATACATTGCGTTGTTGTACTATTCTCTTCACTGTTATGAGATAAGATATTCATACTAAAGTTATTTCTAAATATATATTTTTAAAAGAAAATTACATTCCTCAGACATTTTTACAGCCAAAGTTCTGGTCATAAAGTCCCTGCCAACATATTATAGTAACTCTTTTTTTTTTTTTTTTTAATATATTTTATTGATTTTTACAGAGGAAGAGAGAGATATAGAGAGCTAGAAACGTCGATGAGAGAGTAACATTGACCAGCTGCCTCTTGCATACCCCCTACTGGGGATGTGCCCGCAACCAAGGTACATGCCCTTGACCGGAATCGAACCCGGGCCCCTTCAGTCCGCAGACCGACGCTCTACCACTGAGCCAAACCGGTTTCGGCCATAGTAACTCTTTTTCAGGTACTATTATTATTAGTTCTGGAGATACATCATAGATACTGACACTCATCCATGAGGCAAGAAATCTTTACATACTCTGAGGAGGTAAATTAAAAAATCACTTGACATTTTTAAAATCCTTCCCAATAAATATAGAAATATTTCTAATTCCTGATTGAATCCAAGTAGAAATTAGTTATTTTGGACATTTTTACACACAAAAACTATACTGTCTCGCTAAAGGGTGTTGTTAATTAGTCCTGGGCAAGCTTTCCCCGTACATGCATGCATGTGTATGTAAATACATGCATGTACGTATGTGGATATACACACACTTATATATACATACAAGCTCAGAACCATTAAAGATGACACTTTTTATATAAAATCACTACATTCACCTTGATTACAACATTCCATATAGAACCCAACTTTTGTTTTTATTCTGTTTAGAACCATGTTAATTAAGTACAAAGTGAAAAGGAGCAGGTGACAATGTGCTCAGCTGCTGAGCTCATAAAGGCACCACTGGGGGGAGGTGTAACTTCTGAAGACTCCCCTTGTACAGGGAGAAAATCCATGCCAGCGAGTGGATTCTCTGAAGAGTCCTGCTGTGCACCCATTATGGCATATCAATTCACCAAACCACTTCGCTTCTATTTCTAAGCAAGTAAATTATACTGCAGATAATTTATTTCTTATGGTTAGTATATTACTGTGTATACAGAACACAAAAGGACAATTCTTCAATTAACATGGAGCAAGGTCCATGTCTAATTGCCTGTTCTTTGTAATCCTTTCTACTATTGCTGTTATTTTCATAACAATGAAAGTGTTCCAATACTTATCTCAGAAAAAGACTTGACTATTCAGAGTTTTATGCAACATAAAGATTTTACATCAAAGAAACAGCATCACTTTGCAAACTTAATGTCACCATTAGATGGAAAGGCTTACCAGATTCATTTCTTGAGTCAATTCTGAAAGGATTATTACTCCTATGATACAGTGTTCCACGGTACCCTTTGGAGAAAATAACAAAGTTTAGCCTAATTGGAGACATGTGATTGTGTAACCAGGTAATATTTATAAGTAATTAAATACTGAAACATCACATTTCTTTTAATCATATTATCTATTAAAATATGTAGAAAATCACTCATAAAGTCCACAAATAAAAAGAATTTCAAGTTCATTTTTGAAGGATAAATTTAGTGTTGAGTGGGGAAAAAGTTCACCTATCTTAGAACTGTGATACTCTACAAAATTTTTCAGCACTTAGCACTTAAAATAAGCTAGACCTCAAAATATAAGTTTAATACTTTTCATAAGAACATTACATAAAACATTTTTCAGCTCTATAAATTTGCTTGAAGTCTACTGAGATAGCTGCATTCAGTAAGTAATAAACTAATTTAAATCCCTCAATCCAATATCAGATAAGATCACTAAGTCCCTTTTATTTATTTTTTATTTTAAAAAAATATATTTTATTGATTTTCCACAGAGAGGAAAGAAGAAGGACAGAGAGCTAGAGAGAGAAACATTGACCAGCTGCCTCCTGCACATCCTCCGCTGGGGATGTGCCCGCAACCAAGGTACATGCCCTTGACTGGAATAGAACCTGGGACCTTTCAGTCCGCAGACCGACGCTTTATTCACTGAGCCAAACTGGTTTCGGCACTAAGTCCCTTTTAATACTGTATTTAGTAGTGGATGTGTATGCATTTGTTATGTATCTATAATGGGCATCTAAAGTACCCATTGCACTGGGATAAATACATGACTATCAATATGGTATACAGTTTTATATCTTCTATGATGCTTTTAATTTAATCAACTTCCAATTTAATCTCAAAAATTTCAAATCAAAATTCAGATTTCATGTGCACATTACTAACAAATTACCCTACTTCAAACTCAGATTGGAAGTATGAAATAAATGCAGCATCTAATTATAGTGTAATCATAAAAAAAATACACTAGCATAGATAACGCTTTTCAAGTTTTAATTGTATAGTAGGTCATTTCCTGACTATAACACAATTCTAACACTGAGCCACTAAGTGTTATTAAGTTCAAATTATCTCATAATTAAAATATAAAAAAAAAGAGATGAGCCCTAATTTTTCCATTTTAATTCTTTAAGACAATCTGAATTGCTTGAACCTAGCCACAGATTTTCTATTACTGACGCATCCATCCTCTATGTACACCAGGCCTACGCTCCTCCAAGTATGGTTCTGAGTGATTGCTGGTCCATGAATCCGTTGGTAGTCTGCAAATCCATTCTAATCTGAGAATGGTTTGGTACTAGTCTATGACAAGATAAAGTTTGCCCTGAATATAAAATAGCTAAGTCACTAGGTACACTTTTTAGTTTAGCTGGCATTTTTAAAAAAATGTTTTTATTGATAGAGAGATAAGGAAAGAGATGGAAACACTGATGAGAAACTTTAATCAGTTGCCTCCTATATGCCCCCTACCAGGAATATAAACAAGAGTTAAGTTCCTACTACATCTCATCAGATTATAACAAAACTTGAGACCTGTGCCCTCTCACAATCAGGACCCCTCGGGGGATGTCAGACTGCTGATTTTGGCCCTATCCCCACAGACCAGGTCGAGGGAACTCACCAGTGCAAAAATCCGTGCACTAGGCCTCTAGTATGCATATAAAATCTTTGGTTAATCTCTTCCCGCTGGCCCCCTTCCCCCTTCCCTCTGAGATTCATCAGTGTGTTCTATGTTTCCAGGCCTATGCATTGAGTGTCTTCTCCCTGCTGGTCAATGTACATCATAGCTACTGGTCAAACGGTCACTTAGGCTTTTATATATATAGACGACATTATTTGAGGACCTGCTATATTTGTTAAGCATGGTTTTAACAATATGAATAAGAGTAAAAGCACACAGTCTAGTATTAAATTTTAAAGCTACTGTATAAGAAATAGAATCTCATAAAGTCCAAATTTCCCCTAATTGCCAATAAACCAATTACTAACCATCTCTAAATTAATCCAAACTGCCAATTTTTACTCGAGAATTTTAACAGATCACTGCTTCTTCAGCATAGTGCTAGCTAAAGTACTTTTCTTGCAAGTAGGGTTAATATTTGTATGAAAAAATACATGTCTTTAAACATCTGAATGTTACTGAGTAGAGCATGAGGGTCATCCTAAAAGTTATATAGGACAGGAAATACAGATTTAGGTTTCCAAAACTTTAATCACTTAGATTGAAAATATTGTTAAAAAACTAATATAGTCAATGTGGGTATATAATAAAACTTAAATATATTTGGGTGTATATATATATTTATATACCTTAAGTTAGCAAACTTGCTGAGATGCTAGCTCTATGCATTACTAGGTCACTGTACAATCGTAAGCAAATTACTTAACTTTTCTTTGCCTCAGTTTTCTCATTTATAAGAAATAAATCACAGAGATGTAATGAGCAATACCCAAAAATATTATATACATTTTTTGTATATATGCAGTACCTACCTACACATGTTAGAAATGACAGAGCATACACTTTTGAAATTAGAAAACATTATAATTTGCATTCTTCTTGTCTGGAAGTTAGATAAGGGCAAGGTCCTCATTTACTGGCAATAAAAAATAAAGGACCTAGAGGATAAGTAATCAATCATAATTAATATGGTACTGGTAGCCCCAAAACAAACCAAATAGCTTTAAAAAGATCAGTTTTAAAACCAAATAACGATTCTCTAAATAATGTTATAATGCCTTTTTACCTGAAGAAATGTCTTCACATCAGCAATAATTTCTCTGAAGACAAGCTGGTCTTTTTGAACTTCAAACCATCCCAATTTAGTTATTTTAGCAATGACTTGAATAAGGGCTTGGATGACAAAGAGGGCCAGCTTGGGTTGTGATGCCACATAATTAAGAATGTAGTTTCCTGTAAGAAAATGTTCTGTGGTCATTTGTGGACTCTTCACTAGCATAATGTTAATCAGGGGAAGAAAAATAGGTGGTGATGGCATATTCTTTGACAAAAAGTTATTCCCTTTAAGCTACGTACTTACTTATATCCTCAGTTCTATTATAAGACTTATTTCAATTGGTATGTTAAGGGATAATTTGAGTAAAATGCAAATGTCACTTCTACTTTTGCATTTCTTACAGAAAAAAAGTGCTAAGTGAACGTAGAAAACTCCAAACAGGCCAAGTGAACCAAGCCATACACACATCCACCTCATCGAAGAAAATATACAAGTGGTAAATAAGCATTTGGAAAGATGTTCAACATCCTATGTCTTTAGGCAACTGCAAATTAAAACAACTGTGAGATACTAACTTCCACATACCTTTAAAATGGCCAAAATGCAAAACACGGAAAACACCAAATGTCGGCAAGGATGTACTCTACAGTGTAAAGCAACAAGAACTCTCCTGCTCTGCTGGTGAGAATGCAAAAAACAGCCACATCGGGAGACAGCTTGGTATTCTTCCAAACCTAAACATATACTTAACCATACAACACAGCAATCACTTTCCTTGAGATTTACCCAAGGAGAAAATATATACCCACATAAAACACTGCTTTACTGCAGCTTTACTGTGATTGCCAAAACTTGGAAGCAACCAAATTATTCTTCAGTAGGTGAACGGGTAAACTGTGCTATATTCAAACAATGGCATATTAGTGCTAAAAATAAATGAATAAATAAATAAAATAAAATAAAAAAAATGAGCTATCAAACCATGAAAAGACAATAAAAGAAACATAAGTGCCTATTACTAACTAAATGAGTTTGAAAGGCTATAAAATGTATAATCCCAACTATGTGATGTTCTGGAAACAGTAAAAGATCAGTGGTTGTCAGGGATTAGAGGGAAGGAAAGGATGAATATGCAGACACCGCAGCTTTAGAGCAGTGAAACTATGCTGAATGATATTATAATGGGGATATATGTCATTAAACATTTACCCAAACCCTTAGAATACTCAACACTAAAAGTGAACCCTAAGGTAAACTATGGACTTTAGGTACTAATTATGTAGATGTAGGTTTATGAATTGTAACAAATGTACCACTTTGGTCCAAGATGCTAGTAATGGGAAGTTTATACATGTGTGGCATAGGGAAACTCTGTATTTTTTTATTTTGTTCAATTTTGCTGTGAACCTAAAACTGCTTTAAAAAATAAAGTCAATTTAAAATAAGTGTGTGTGTGTCTGTGTCAAACAAAACAATGTTTTATGAGGTAGGCTTATAATGTTTAAATCCTCTACAGTGTCTGTGACTCTGGCTGCTTAGAAAAATATTAGTCAAACAGGATCAGGAAAATAACATGATCTGACCATTCAAAAGTGAGTCTAAATATTCATCATTCATATTTTTATTTTTCTGGTACACAAATATAAATCATGTGAACCTTGAGACCAGAAAGCAGAAATGAATCAATAATCGATTTCTAACCTGAAAAAAATATTTTAAAAATACCATACCTCAATTATTATTTGTCAATAATAATAATAATTAATAATAATAAAAGAGTTTTTCCCTATAAAAAGCAAATTCACATACACCTTAAAAAGGCATAACTCCTGAAAAATATATTGCTACTTTATAGAATCAGTTTCCAACTGTACTAAGTTTCAAGTACTATTATTCATCCACATATACAACGTCTTCCTAATAAGCATTAATTTGCTTTGATTTTGCATGCATCACAGATAATTTTGATATGGCATCCTGAGAAATACTGGAGAATTGCCTTTTCTATCATTCTGTTGTATATGAAGTTAAGACAAGACTAAGAGACTCTGGACTCCACAAGATTGTATGGTTTTAAATCACAGCTCCATCTGTTCCTAGCTGTGAGATCTTGGACACATTACAGAGCCTATCAAATCTAGTTTCCTCACTTATAAAATGAAGGAAACAACACTGCCCTCCTTATAAGTTTTTGTGGATAAAATGAGATAGTGCAAACCTTCATAAAGAGCATACAAACTAAAATGCTACTTATTATTTATTATTAATTTAAACAAACGCTGTTTTGATTACGCATTGTTATAGATCACTATTCATCACTAGATAGGTAGCGGAGATTTGACCACTCATCTTTAAAAAATGACAGAATCAAATAACTTACATACCTATTAACAGTTAACATATTTAAAAGGAAAAATATTTTTTAAATACAATTTGATAAAAAGGTTTTTAAACCACTTACTGATATCTATTCTCTGTTCTACTGGCAAAGGACTGACTCGGCTAACAAGTTTTGAAAGACATGTGGCTGCCAGGAGCTGAGCATAGGATGTCTGTAAAGAATAATAAAATTTATTATCATTACAAATGAAATTAGAGTAATCAACACTCTATAGTATTAACTTTTCCTAAGCAGTAATGAGAACTTTTCACATGAAACCAACAGTCAGCAAAAGTATACAATTTAAAACAACATATCTCATCATAGAATTTTTTCACAAAAATAGAAAATAAGGCTGCAACCAAAGTTAAATTTCAAAGCACAGAAAGCCACTTAGCAAAATAGTTCATCAAATCACCATTCTTTTATTGCAGTAGCCAAAGTGATACATGCAGAAAAAATAAACTTCAGGTCACTAGCCTTTCAGTGAGAACAAAGCTCAAATAGTTGAAGACATCTGAGCAATACCAAGAGCGGATTTCAAATAAGAGAAATGATAGAAGGTTCTCCTTAGTTTTTGCTGAGATGACACATTACTAACATTGCCCATTCTGCTTATTCTAGCAATCAATGCTAATTTTGAAGAGACTAAAGAATTAATCTCTATAGTCTGTGAAACTATAGGACAGAATATTCCTAAAGATGTTAAGAAAATACTACTAAATCTGTACAACCTAAAGTAGTAACGACTAAGATGTGTCACAAGTGGTAGTAAAAATATATGAAGCAGAAAAGAGCTGCTGGACAAATTTACAAAACTTCTAAAAATGTAAGAATCTAAAAGCCTATGGTTACTCACTGTATTAATTATCAGTAGACACTCTATAGTAAATATTTGAATCTATCAGTGTTAATCAGTGGTGTTAACGGTAAACTTCAATTCATTTTCATGAACTTATCTTCACTTCTGTAAATTTCTATCAGAAATAGTAGCTGAAAACCCTGACTTTTCCCACCACACAGTTCAATAGCTTAGCAGTGGTCAAGTTTCAATTTTTTTTTTTTTTAAACTCAGGGCTGAGACTGAAATTTATCTGAATGAGAAGAACCATTCTAAGCCACTATTGTTGAATACTAAATGCCTTTGGAAACTAGCTTTTGCTGCACATTTGACGTCTCTTAATGAAGTCAACCTAAAGTTATAGAGTGCCTAAAAGGAAAACAGTGCTTAGTATTTATTTATAAAACTTAAAATGCAGTAAAGTCATTTCAATAACAATTGCTTGTTTGAATCACAAGCAATATCAAACTGCTTTATATACTTCCACAGTCAAAAGTTAAAACAAGTAGCAAGATCTCTATTCTTGAGTTATTTTCTGAGCTTAAACTAGTTTTAGCAGCATTCTTTCATGCTGTGATGCAACTGAAAAAGAAATATCCATATTTTAAAATCCATTTAACTGAACAATTGAGAAGCTTCCACCTAACCTTCAATTGGAAGTGACTAATCTGCAGTGTATTCACATTCTAAAAGGCAAATATCAAGAGAAGTTTTAATAAAATACTACAAATCCCTTGTAAGTGATGAATATGCTTAATTAAAATCATATATTCATGGATTGATATCAACATATGGCAGAAGCTATTTGTATAAAAAGACATTTTCAAAAATGAAATATGTAAAATTTCATTACAGATCAGTATTAACACAGGAACACTTGTAATCAATGTTGACAATAGGAAATATTAACTTTGAACACTTATTAAGCAAAATGTTATCCCCAAAAGGATAATTCCATTCTTTTCATTAATAGGCCCATATTAAAAAAAACAACTGTAATCAATTATTATATTTTAGATTTCACCAATAAAACTTTGTGGAAATTGGTTTTCTCTCCTCTTACAGACACATTTACAAAACATCCTTTTTTTAAAAATATATTTTATTAATTTTTAACAGAGAGGAAGAGAGAGTGATAAGAGAAACATCGATGAGAAAGAATCATCGATCAGCTGCCTCTTGCACAACCCCTACGGGGGATGTGCCCACAACCAAGGTACATGCCCTTGACCAGAATCGAACCCGGGACCTTTCAGTCTGCAGGCCAACACTCTATCCACTGAGCCAAACCGGTTTTAGCTACAAAACATTCTCAATTTTGCCTCTTGACCCAAAAAATCTAAAGTATTTAGTACTCCCATCCAAGTACTAACCAGGCCCGACCCTGCTTAGCTTCCGAGATCAGACGAGATGGGGTGCGTTCAGGGTGGTATAGCCGTAGACTTTAGTACAATCTGGCACTTTCCAGAAAAAGTCTGCTGACCTCTGCAACAGACCACAAAGTCTCTGACTGTATTGCCTACCGTATTATTTCAGAGCTCTCTATTTATGCATCTATCTCTCCCCAACTAGACTGGGAGTTACTTTAATGCACAAACATAAAGGAAGCAGTGGTATAGTACCTGGTTTTACATTTAAAAATTTGCTAAAGATTGCTGAATGAATGGCTAGGAAACTCTAGAAGGACGGGAGGCAGGAGGTAGTCAGCATTCCTCTGAATCATTCAGTCATGTTTCAGTCAATTACAATTTGTTTTGTAAAAGCTATCAGTCAACTTCCTGAAAATGTAACCTTTTGTCCACTGATATGATACATCAAGAGGGGCCAAAAGGAATCACAAACTATTTTCCATTCATGCCTATTTCCACCTCCTGGGGTCTTCGCTAAGTTTGCTTTCAGACTTTTCCAATTCTTTCTCTGATTAATTTGTCAGTGAAATAAACTGTAGTAAAAAGACATGTGGTATATAGATAATACCTATCAGTCATCATTGCTAACCTACATGAGTTCGTTACCAATGACACATGTCTACTGATCTTTCATGATTAATCACTGTTATCAAATACTTACTGTTCCTTGTTCTAATAGAAGTTGACACTTGCTGAGACATTCTGGGCTGTCAATAAGTTCCAGGAGTGCTTTCTCAGCCTCTATTCTTTGTGTTAGATCAGTCCCTGTGTAGAGATGAGTACATAATACTTCCAATTCTGCCAAACTCTTGAAAAGAAAAAAAATATATTTTACTTGAGTGAAAAAAAATAAGACAAATGTATTAATCACAGAAAACAAGGGATGTAAATATCATGCTTGTGATCATCAGTTCAGTAAGTGCTTATTGAGCTATACCACTGCTTACTAGGTCACAGTAGTGAACAAAACAGGTCTATCTCCTACCTTCAAGTTATACACACACACACACACACACTAGTGGCCTGGTGCATGAAATTCGTGCAACGGGGGGAGGGGGGGGTGTCCCTCAGCCTAGCCTGCACCCTCTCCAATCTGGGACCCCTCGAGGGATGTTCAACTGCCCATTTAGACCCGACCCCACTGGGATAGGGTCTAAACGGGCAGTCAGACATCCCTCTCACAATCCAGGACTGCTGGCAACCAACTGCTCACCTGCCTGCCTTCCTGATTGCCCCTAACCACTTCTGCCTGCCAGCCTGATCACCCCGTAACCATTCCCATGCCAGCCTGATTGATGTCTAACTGCTCCTCTGCCCGCCTGTTTGCCCCCAACTTCCCTCCTCTGCCGGCCTGGTCACCCTTAACTGCCCTCCCCTGCAAGATTGATTGCCTCCAACTGCTCTTCCTTGCAGACCTGGTCCCTCTCAACTTCCCTCCCCTGCTTGTCTGATCACCCACAACTGCCCTTCCTTGCAGGCCTGGTGCTTTCCAACTGCCCTACCCTGCTGGACATCTTGTGGTAGCCATCTTGTGTCCACATGGGGGCAGCCATCTTGTATGTTGGAGTGATGGTCAATCTGCATATTATTCTTTTATTATTTAGGATAAAAGCCTAAGCAACCATCCAACTGTCCCACTGACTGATAGCTATCATGTGCAATGACCACCAGGGGGCAGATGCTCAATGCAGGAGCTGATGAGCTGCAGTGATGTAGCAAACTGGTTCTAGGGTAACACACTCAGAACCAGAAAGGAGGGAGCCCGATTCTGGAGAGTGTCACCTGACAACCGCCCACTCTCTCACAATTTAGGACCCCTCAGGAGATATCAGAGAGCCACTTTTGCCTGATCCCCACAGACCAGGCCAAGGTCCCCACTGGTGCACAAATCCGTGCACCGCACTGGTCTAATTATAAATAGACTAGGGGCCCAGTGCACAAAATCCATCCATAGCGGGAGGGGGGATCCCCTCGGCCTGACCTGCACCCTCTCCAATCCAGGAGCCCTCAGGGGATGTCCTACTGCAGGAGACAACTGGGCTGATCAGGGGAAGGCGCCACCCCATCACCCCGCTGCTGCCACCACTGCCAGCCGCCACAGCCGCCAGTGTTTTCATTAACATGGACTCGTCCCTTTACCACAAAAAAAATGACAACTTTCTTTAGGCATTTTCAAGATGTCTCTTTCATAGGATATGACATTTCTTTCTTTTTTTTTTTTTTTTTATCTTCACCTGAGGATATTTTCCCATTGATTTTTAGAGAGCATAGAAGAGAGAGGGAAAGACAGAGAGAAACATCAATGTGAGAGGGACACTACAATTGGTTGCCTCCTGCATGAGCCCTGACACCAGAATTGAACCCGGACCCTGTAGTCAGCAGGCTGAGGCTCTATCCACTGAGCCAAACCAGCTAAGGCAGGATATGATATTTCTTAGCCCCTCTAGCAGCGAACCTTCATTTTTTTCCCCTCCAGGAATAAGGTGGAAAAACCCTAGATCACCTTCTTGGATTCTTATTACCCAAGTCACCAAGAACACTTGGAGTGGCGTATGGGGAGCTTAGCCACTGAGTGTTTCCTCTGCAGCTCACGTGCAGAGTCTTGCCTCATTGTCTCCTTCCAGCAGTCTGCTCACGCAGCTTCCTTACATGTACACATACACACATATATATAGACTAGAGGCCTAGTGCATGAAATTCATGCATGGACAGGGGGATTGGGGGGAAGGGTCCCTCAGCCCAGCCTGCACCTTCTCAACAGTCCTGGATCCCGTGGGGGATGTCTGCCTACTGGCTTAGGCCCGCTCCCTGTGGGGAAAGGGCCTAAGCCAGGAGTCAGACATTCCTCTTGCAGTCCAGGGCTCTTGCAGTCCAAGGACCCCTTGCTCCTTACTACCCGTCTGCAGTGGAGTTGTGAGAGGCTCCCGCCACCACCACTGCGCTCACCAGCCATGAGCCTAGCTTTTGGCTGAGCAATGCTCCCCCTGTAGGACGCACTGACCACCAGGGGGCAGCTCCTGCATTGAGCATCTGCTCCCTGGTGGTCAGTCCACACCATAACAACCGGTCGGTCTGCCATTTGGACGATTTGCATATTAGGGTTTTATTATTAGGATTGCTCTATGATGGAAATGAGTACAGAAAGTGGGGGACTTGCCAAATCCAAGGAGTTTGAAAAGACTTGCCTGAAATAATAACATTTATGCTGACCTGAAAGAGTGAACCAGATAAAGAGAGATTAGGGAGCAGTCTAGGCAAAGAAAGAGCATTTTCCAGGGCGCAGCACAGAGCTTAATCATTTCAAGACATTAAAAGGTCAGTATGCCTGGTAAAGAAAGGGACAGCAAGGGGGAGATTCCAAATGAAGCTAAAGAGATGGATGGGAGGAATTATAGGCAAGTTGCAGACACTATACCAATTTACATTCTTTCTCAAATTTTAAGAACTTCTATGGTTCCATCTATAAAAAAGAAAATTGTAAGCGTATGTTGGTTTGGTGCTTCTGAACTATGGCCAAGTCCTAAATCCCCAGTACCTTTGAATGCAACCTTATTTGGAAATAGGGTCTTTGCAAATCCCTAAGGAAAGGATCTGGAGATGAGATCATCCTGGATTCAGGGTGGACCCTAAATCTAAATCTAATGACTCATAAGAGAAAAAAGAGGGGCACTTTAGATGCAGAGACACAGGGAGAAGGTCATGTGGAGGAGGAGGCAGAGACTGCAGAGTTATATCTACAGGCCACAGAACACCAAGGACTGCCAACAGCAGAAACTAGAAGACATGGAAAGGCAGCACAAGATAAAAAGAGAAAGGTTTGAACTTCTCTTCCAAAAGGTTGAAACAAAGGGAGGAAACATCAACTTATTCTTTCACTGGAATTATTACAACTGGACACATGCCTGGCTTTCTAAATCTTTTCAGAGAAGAGGATACATACACAACGATCCTTACTCTGGTGGAAAAGCATTATCTAAACATCTAAAATAGTTAAACTCACAATATGGTGATTGCTGACTGATCAAGCAATCTTCTGACTAGCATTTGACTTTCCAAAGAATCTCTCTATGAAGACTTCATTTTTCACAATGAATTGATAAATTTGCATCACAGTTTTATACGCAGCTGTCAAAGAATATGATTAACATAAGGATGCCTCAGAAAAATGACTCCCTTCTTGATTTGACAAATCAAGTTTAAGTTATTAAAGCTCTACAAGGCTTAATATCAACATTAGAAGCCCATTTAAATAACTAATGGGTAGAACAAGTAGAACTGGACATCACCTAATTCTCACAGAGTAACCATCAAATATAAACAGTGCCCAATTCCAAAGCCTAGGCAACAATGACACAATCCTGCCTACAGCCTAAATAAGGATCTTCCTAGTTATTCTGGACTTATTTCCGGCCTCTGCACTTGATATACACTTAGCCTTAAATGATGTAATTTCTTTCTACACAGTAATTCCCACTCATACATCTATCGACAGGTAAATGCTGAGTAAAAGAAGCCAGACAAGAAGAACATGTATTGTATGGTTATGTAGGATCAGACGGCTAGTCAGTGGTTTCCGGTTGGAGAGGGAGAAGAGGCGGCATTACTTTTGGGGGATGATGGGTATGTTCATAATCCTGATTTCAGTGATGGTCTCACAGGTACATACATATATCACAATTTATCCACCTGCGCAGTTTAAGTGTATGTACATCTGCACAGTTTAAGTATATGTAGTTTACTATTTGTCAATTATATTTCAAAAAAGCTAAATGAAGGTTTTTGTTCTAGGGGGGAAAAAGTCCCCTAATAAATGAAAATCCCACCTCAATTCAATTTAAAACTCTTTTCAATTACTTCCCTATATCTTTCCTGCTTTCTGGAATTAAGCTTCTTGATTACCACTATTAGAAAATGCCTTTATCTTTAAGTTATTCATTTCCCATAAACTCTTTGTTTCTTCCTCCCTTTACTACCTTTTCCTGAAGGCTTATTCTTGAGCCTCTTGTAACTTGCTACTGCAATGAATTGGATAGTGTTGTTTTAGTGCTTTCTAGTTTACAAAAGTATTTCCACCTTTTATTTTTTAAACCAATCCTTAAAGAAGACTCCTGCAAACCAGGTATTGTAGTACACCCATTTTACAGAGAAACTGAGGCTGAGATATCAAATATTACTCAACAAATACACAGCAAATGATCGATTTTGAGTCAAATACAAAATCCCATCGACATGATGATGTCTCCTCACCATCCTGCCATCTTGCTACCCTTTACTTCAGTCATCAACAACTCTATCTGTTCACCATCTTTATATTTGTCTACAAATGTCTTCCTCTTGGGAATCCAGACAGATGCTGAAAACAGCCCCAAAACATCAGAAATTGAACTGAATATATTTCCCACAGATTTCTACTTCAATGTCCCTTTGTTTTCTTTCAGTGGCTTCAGAGATCTAGACCAGAATCTAGATTTACAATCTTGATGTTATTTTTGGCTCTTCATTCTTAGTCCCTCCTGTTTAATTAAGAGTTTGGCCCTGCTTACCCAAAGGAAAGTCTGGCCTTTGCCCCAGATTCTGGGAGATAATATGTCAGACCTGATAGGAGTGTTTGTTCAGAAGGGGGGGTGAGGGGGGGAGGTACACCATATATTTTAAATTGGGGGCTGGCCACACTAGCAAGGCCAGTCCATGTTTTAAGGTGGGGAATTTGGATTATTCAATATCAGTTTCCTCAACAGATTGAGATCAACCACATGGGCAATGAATCAATCATGACTACATAATGAAGCCCCAATAAAAACTCCAGGACTCAAAGCTCTGGTGAGCCTCTCTAATTTGGAATATGTTGTGGGGTCAAACCCTGGGTTCAAAATAAGACCACCGGAGGCTAATGATTGATTAAAAAATCAGGCAGGAATTTATTGAAAAACTGGCCAGGACGTCCGCGAGAGCACCACATGCCACATGCCACACGACTGACTGCACTGTTCCAGGTGTAGGCAAGTCTTTTTAAAGACTCAAACCATAGGAATTTCCCTGTTCTCAATTCTAAAGGCTGGGAACATTGGAATGTGGTCCAATCTGCAAATATTACAGAAGCAGAACTCAGAGGTTAATCTCTAAAGTTTTTCTATAGTTTCTACCCCTAAAGCTATTAAGTCAGTGGGAATCAATCTCCTGTAACTACCCTATTGTTTAAGCAAGTAAGCGAAGGTCAAAGTCAGAATAGTAGGATTAAAATTCAAACAGCAGTTTTTACCCAAGTATGATTGCTACCATATTTCAGAATACTCAGTGCATAATGCCCCATGTATATTCTCGCAGAGTACTAGTCTTGAGGACAAAACTTGGTTTTTAGAATTCTCTCTAGACTCTGCCCTATGTATCTCTTCTTTCAATCAGTTTTATTCTATGTACTTTGCTGGCGATAAACTACAGCCATGAGCATGATAGCATTCAGTGAATTCTGTGAGTCCTTTTGATAAACTATCGAACCTGAGGGTGGTTTTGGGAAACCCGACACACTGTTGGTGTCAGAAGTGAGGGCAGTCTTATGCACTGTGTCCTCAGACCTCAAAGTCTGGCTAATTCCAGGTACACCCGTGATTTGTCCTAAAGTCTTACCATTTCTCTTAAAGACTCGGACGAAATATCTCTTTCTGATACTCATAGATAGGAGAGCAATAAAACAATATTTTCTAACTATGGCCTCCAGTGCCCTGAATTCTTCATTGGCTTCTTTGGGAATAAGAGTAGAAACTTTGCAACTTACTTACTAAGTGACCTCAAAGTATTTAACCTTTCTAATCCTCATTTTTGAACTTTAAAAATATTATTTTGAAATATCCACCTTCCAAAATAACTGTCAAGATTAAGATAGAAAAAAAACGAGAGAAAGCATAATCTGGTGTCTGGCACACAGAAGACCCACAGTAAATTGTAAATAATCTCCAGTTACTGATAATTATAAAACACCATATTGATCTTTTGTCTATAGTTTTCCAATTCAAGTCCATCCTGCCAGGATAATCATTCCTAAACCTTTGTTTCATCATATCATCATCATGTTCAAATATAATACTTCACAATCACATCTAGAACAAATCTGATAGCCTGGCTGGGTATTAAGAAGCATGACTATAGTCCCTGGTTCTGGAACAATCCTGAGAGAGAAAAAAAAAATTTTTTTTTTTACCAACTAGGTTCTCTAAATGTCCCAGTATTAGCTCTTGCTTCTCATCAAGGTCCCTATATTCTATGAACTAAGCCTACATTTTACTTGTTCCCAGCTCAAACTTTCCTCACTCTGTCCCTCATGGACTATCACCTCTCAGATAATCCAGATCCACACTTCCTTTGGGATAGAGCACCCTAACTCACAGCTTCCTAACCAGAATGCATGTACCTTAAGCGGGTTATCAGTATGCCTGGTATTGATCTCAACTGCCCTCTCAGCAGCCAGGCTTCTTTCTGGCTGTGGGCAATTTATGTCAATGAGCTACACCATTACCATTTTTTATGTCTGTCATTATGGGAAAAAGATTGTGGAGCAGTGCCCTAACCTCACCTTACACAAATCCACTTCTTTACTCAATCACCTTAACAGGATGTTTGGCTGGCTAAGATATGGATGTGAAAGAACGTGGGATTATGAGATATGAGGTTTACTCTAACCCTGGAGCCTTGGTAAGTCACAGTTGTTGTAAGGCCCAGTGTCTTCAGGAATAAAATAGATACATATATGCACACGTCTCAAGTTCGTTGTGGGGCTCAAAGTGTACAATGAACATATAAGGTAGGCACTGGTTATCATGATTGATTCCTGCTCCTTGAGTGAACTGGACAAAAATACAACCCTATAGACCAGGAAGAATTCAAACAGATCAGTTTTGGAGCTCATTTCTGGCCCTCCAAACTATCTGATCTTTCATTTGTCCAACCCACTGTTGAGCTGTCCACAGCTGCTGTGAAATACATTGCTAGAAAACCAACACGGGCAGCTCTGGCATTAGCAGCTAATTTTCGAACATTCTGCCTAAGCAGGAAGGAGTCTTCCAGGACTGAGGGACTTACTGTTGTTATGTATCATCATCTTTCCAAGTCTGAAAATGTTCCAAACTTCCACCACAGTTTTTAATGAACCTCAAGAGTTACACCTGAATTGTGAACATCCGATTACCTATTTGCAATCCCTAATTCCTCCCTGTGCGATTCTTCCAGTGAAAATTTCCCCGGGGGCATGTGTTTATAAAACGGTAATAAATAACATTATGTTGACCTTGAGACCCTCAAAATGGCAATGAGTCAAAAGGCAATGGGTGGGCCTCACCGCTGCCTACGGTAGTCCATAACACCCTGGAGCTGCCAATGACCTGACAGGAGGGTGGCTGGTTGGAAAGAAAAGATCCTTTGGAGAAAGAAATAAGGAATGTGTCAGTGTGGCCACAGGGACTTCAGATTAGTTTACAAAAAGTAGGTGACACTTAGATACACTGTCACGGTATCAAGAAACTGCCTACCCCTCCCCAAGTCGTCTCCCCACATCCGCAGCCTCCTCTGCTCCCCTCCTTTCGCAAGAACCCAATGCTCCAGCCAGAGGGAACTTCCTGCAGGGTGCCATGTTCTTCCGCCACCCTTAGCCTTGGCTCACACTGGCCTTTGGCCTCTACATCCTCCCCTTCCTCTTCCTCCACGTGGCCAACTCTTACAATCCTTTCAAGACCTATTAGTGAAAGGGCTGGGCGGGGCTAACTCCTGATCCTCCATTTTGTAATTGGACCCTAGCCCTTATCCAATCAATCAGGGTCAGCCAAAGCAGTGACATCACACCCCTATAAAACCCCTTGAACTGTTGAAGCTCGCTCTCTTTGGTCACGCTGGGGTTGGTGTAGATGGGGACAGAGCCCCTAGCATGGAACAGGCTTTTCTGCAATTGCTTCGGAATCGGCTCCCTGGGGTGGCTCAGTGGTTGAGTTGAGCACCATCTATGAACCAGGAGATCATGGTTCAATTCTGGGCAGGTCACATGCCTGGGTTGCAGGCTCAATCACCGGTGGGGGCGCAGTGGGTGGGGGGGGGCATCAATGATTCTCTCTCAGCACTGAAGTTTCTCTCTCTCCCCCCTCCCGTCCTCTCTGAAGCCAACAAAAATATACTAAAATCAACAACTCAAAACACCCACGAGACTTGCCAGTTCCCCATAAAGTTTTGCCAGATCTGTCTGTATCTCCCTTGAGCGCGCAGCACAAAGTAGGAATCCAATACCTACGTGGGCAATCGGAAGCTCGGAGCACCTCCTGCCCGAGCACAGCCGCTCGGTGCCGCGCACCTGGTGGGCGGCCCCTCTCCAGTGTCCCCGGGACTGATTCCATCAAAACCATTTTGCACCGGCAACGGTCATCATCTTGAAATCGAGGAAGGCAGGCGGGTAAAATGGTGCCATCCTTTATCCCAGAACTTGGCGCGGTGCTGGAGCCGCGGGTGGGGGAGGGGGCTTTGGGAGTGTTTGCGGGATGAACACCTGGAGGCACGCGAGCCCGCCCCGGAGCATCCTCCTCCCCGCCCGCCGGTCCCCGCCAGCGGCTGCCGCGGGGCCCCCTCCGCAGCTCCCCGAAGGCACAGCCCGGCCCGCCCGGCCGGTTCAGGTCCCACCCGGGGCCCCGCTCCGGCTCCTCCGTCCCAGCTGCGTGCGGACCGACGACGGGCCCGCGGCCGGCACCGCGGCGGGAAGACGGGCCGCCCGGCCGGGCTCCCACCTGCCCGACGCCTCCGAAGCCGCCCCTCGCGCGGGTCCCCGCGGAGCGAGCTCGGAGCCCAGCCTCCGCCCTCCGCCCTCCGCCCTCCGCCCTCCGCCGCCCGCGGGCTCGGGCCGCCCCCTCCTCGGGCCGGGGGGACAGTCCAGGCCCCGGGACGCCGGTCCGCGGCCTCTGCCGCCTCCTCAGCCCTCAGCCCCCGGACCCCCGAGTCCCGCCGCGCTCCCGGGGCACCGAGCGGGACCCGCGGCGCAGAGCCACTGACCTGGAAGTGCAGCGCCATCTTCCCGGGAGGCGGCGCCGGCCCGCGGCCCCAGAGCCCGAGGGGAGGGAGGGAGCGGAGCGGAGGCGGGCGCCGCGGAAGCCCCAGCCGCCCGCGGGGTCCCTGCGCCGCTCGCTGGCCGGCTCGCTCTGCGCCTCAGCGGCGCGGCCTCAGCGTTCCCGGCGCTGGAGGGGCGGGGCCTGGCGTGAGGGGCGGGGTTGTGGGGCGGGGTCTGGCTGAGGGGCGGGGCTAGGAGGGCGGGGCCTGGGGAGTGGGAATCTCAACTGTCCTCTGCACGCCCCCAACCGCTGTTACCTCCTACCTCTGTCCTTTGGCACAACTACCGCACCCCAACTGTCAGCCAGGACCCCTGGCTTTACATCTCCCACAGGTTCTTGACCCCTAACCCCTACAGCACAACTATTGCCCGTGGCATCTGACCTCCGCCTCTCCCCAGTTCCAGGGTTCCCTAAGTGCCCAGTTCCCAAGACACATCAGCCATAACCTTTGACTCCCACATACTAACTGCTGTCCTTGACCCCTGACGGCCAGAGCACAATTTCCTTTTTAAAAATTTTTATTTTGTAACCTTTCTTTTGGTTAAAACTAAACGAACAGCGTCTTCATGGTGTTAAGTTGTAAAATTATAGTTCACCTCTTCTTGGCTGTATTTCATTTAACATAAACCTACATTTTAAACCAAATTATTCCACTGCAATGAGAGCTGATTTGAGCAGAAGTGGGTCACATTCACTCCTATTGATGCACTTCATGTCTCCTTAAAAGTTTTAACAGCTCTGTTTGGGATGATTGTCCTTTAAGGCGAACAACTCCTGGAAGACTTCTTGTACTTCAGGACTAGTGACAAATCTGCTCAGCTTTTATTAACTTGCAAACCTCTTTATTTTACGTACTTTTTTTTTTTACAGGATAGTTTTGCTGGGTATAGAACTCCATTTTGGTTTTTTTTTTTTTTTCAGTGTTTAAAAAATGTGTTTCCCTTGATTTCTGGTTGCCATTGTTTCTGTGGAGAAGTTAGCCATCAGTCTGATTACTGCCCCTCTGAAGGTATTCTGTCTTCTTTTCTTCTTTTTCCATCTCTGGATGCTTTACAATTTTGGTCTACAGCAGTTTGAGTGTGATGCAGGTGTGTGTGTGTGTGTGTGTGTATGTGTGTTATCCTACTTGGGAGATAGAGGGCCTCTTGGGATTCAGAAAACCTGATTTTTTGTTTGTTTGTTTGTTTGTAAATTCTCAGCCAGTATTTCTATAGGTATTGCTTTTGTCCCTTTCTCTCTCTCTTCTTCTGGAACTCCAGTTAGATCTTATTGAATATTCCACATCTCTTTTACACTCTTTTGTATTGTTTTTTCTTTTTTCTCATTGTGCTTTAATCTGCTTGTTTTTTACTAACCTGCCACTCACTCATTAGAATTTGTTCTGTGGTGTCTGAACTCCTTATATAACCTTTCTATTGAATTCTTATTTTTAGTTGTAATATTTTTAGTTCCAGAATTTTCATTTGACTTCTGCCCTTTCATTCTTTAAGTAGATTCCAAGGGTCTGATAAAATATTTCATCTTTCTTCAGTTTTCTTGAGCATTTAAAACATATTATTGAAAGCCCCTGTTTTATATTTCCAATATCTGAATCACCTCTAGGTCCTCTAGGTTTTTTATCTTTTGTAGTTGGTTCTATTTTTTTTAAGCATGCCTCATAGTTTCTTATTGAATGTCAGACAATGTGGAAGGGAATTATTGATGGTTGGATGGTACCAGATTCCTCCAAAGAGGAAAAAGCGTTAGATTTTCTTATGGTAGTAGGCAGATATAATACCAGTGAATTGCTTTAATCCTATTGAAACTTGGCTTTATTCTTTTAAATTCCGGTTTATTTCAGTTTTGCCTATATTCCTACATCATGATCCTTACTAGATCTTACAGCTAAAAGCCCAGGATGCTTATCAAGCCTCCACCATGTGGGGCTTGAACTCTAACTCCCTAATACTGTGCAGCTGCTGAAATCTCTGTTCAGCTCTTGAGGTGCTGCTGTCCCCTGAGTTTTTTAAAGCCTTTTCTGGTGCATCTTAAGGATTGACTGAAGATTTTAAGGGAAGTTGTATACAGATTTGGGGCTCGTATTTCTGTAGCTTCTTCCTCTGTAGAATTTTGTCCCTCAAATCCCAGCTGCTTTTATTCTCCAACTACTATCTTATCAGACTGAGATTGTCACTGGCTATTTAGTGCTGTGCCAACTGAAAAATGCTGGGGGTTGGGGGGAGGGTGAAGCTGGGGTTAATATGAATTGTGTGTTGTTTAACACTTTCAAAGATTGAAGCCAATCAAATCCTGCCTTTATATGTGGTTCTTTTCTGCCTTTAAGCAGTAGTTAAATACACACACACACACACACACACACACACACACACACACACACACCCTAGAGACCCGGTGCACAGATTTGTGTACCAGTGGGGTCCCTCGGCCTGGCCTGTGGGGATCGGGCTGAAACTGGCTCTCCAACATCCACCGAAGGGTCTTGGATTGCAAGAGGGTGCAGGCCAGGCTGAGGGACCCCACTGGTTCACAAACCCATACCAGGCCTTTAAGCATGCTTAAAGTATGCTTATAAGATCTTTGGTTTATCTCTTTCCACTCTCTCCCCCCGCCCCCTGCTTCTCTCTGAAACTCATCAATTGTTCCAAGTTTCCATGCTTTTAGTTTCTGCTCCTGAATTGAGCATTTTCCCCCTGGTGGTTAGTGCCCATCATAGCTACTGGTTGGATAGTGGAATAGTCAGCCGGTCACCTAGGCTTTTATATATATACTAGAGGCCTGATGCATGAAAATTTGTGCAAGAGTAGGCCTTACTTTCCCTGGCTGCTGGCACCAGCTTTCACCCAGCACCTGGGACCCAGGCTGCTGGCACTGGCTTTCCTCTGGCACCCAGGACCCAGGCTTTCTCCCTCTGGCCGGCTACAGGCACCCAGGACCATGGGCGGCTTACCCCAAGCTGGGCACTGGCTTTGTCAGGAAGGACATCCGGAATGATGTCTGGAAGACATCCAGTATACCTGGTCTAATTAACATATTACCCTTTTATTAGTATAAATATAGATTTGTCATGTATATATGTGTATAATTTTTAATGTGTTATTATTGTATTTACTTTTTTATTTTTAAATATATATATTTTATTGATATTTTACAGAGAGGAGGAAGGGAGAGAGAGAGAGCTAGAAACGTCGATGAGAGAGAAACATAGACCAGCTGCCTCTTGCACACCTCCTACCGGGGATGTGCCCGCAACCAATGTACATGCCCGTGACCGGAATTGAACCTGGGAACTTTCAGTCCGCAGACCTACTGAGCCAAACAGGTTTCGGCTATATGTATTTATTTATAATTGTTATATATATATATAATATAGTTGTTAAATATGTGTATATCTATATATTTGTCCTGGTTTATCATTGCTTTCAATGGGAAGTCTAATCCAACATAAGTTATCATTATAATCAGACTATTTACATCTTCCATTCTTGATTTTCATACCTTATCCATGGCCCATGAGTCTTCCTCCCCACAGCTCAATTCCTACATTTTAAAATACTAGTATTCAATACCTGCAGTTTGCTATTTTTTATTCCCATATCCCAGAGTTTTTTATTCCTCTATTCTATCTTCTATTTCCAGGTGCCAGCAGTGTTGATATCCAAGCTCATTTGGATTCCCACATCTAAACATTTCTGACTCCCACATCCCAAACACCTATATTGATCTGTGACCTCCCTATTCCTCTGCCACATAATTTCTATTACCTCAAGTTTTAGGTCATTAGGGGCTCAAAAAATTACTTGAGATTTTATCATTTGATTTTTTTCCATTTGCAGAATATCCTTGGCACAAATATATTGTTGTGATAAAAACAGCAGCTGACTATTCTGTGGATTCACCAGGTAATTCTGTAAATGAGAAGCCCATTATCTATTCCCTTAAACGAGAGTGACACTATGATTTCTGTTTGTGTTTTCAATTAACTCTCCTTTTCATGATATTCTATCAACAAAACAGGCATACAGCTCCATATCTTTTTTGTCAATTAATACAATTTAAAATAGAATTGTGTCACTACAGCTATTAAAATTAGCACAGAAGATGCTCCAGGATGTCAAATAATTCATTTCTATCACAAAACTCAATTAAAGGAGGAACCTTCAGAGCCCGTAGGAATTACAAAATTATCTTTCTTCATGCCAACTCGTATTCTAAAAAAGACAGACGGACCTTTGATCTTTGAGTCTTTTCAGGGGATTTAATTAACATTTGTAATTCTGGTACCTTGGGAAATTTACCTAACATATCTGAGTTTTGGTTTTTTATTTCTAAAATCACTGCCCTAACCAGTTTGGCTCAGTGGATAGAGCATCAGCCTTCAGACTCAAGGGTCCCAGATTTGATTCCGGTCAAGGAAGGGCATGTACCTTGGTTGCCGACAAATACCCAGTAGGGAGTGTGCAGGAGGCAGCTGACTGATGTTTCTAACTCTCTATCCTTCTCCCTTCCTCTCTGTAAAAAATCAACAATTTTTTTTTTAAATCACGTTAACAGTAAGTCTATAATTTAAAATTTTTATAAGAAGTAACATTGAAATAAAACAGGAGAGCACAGTGGTTAGGGAAACAGATGCTGGAGCCAAGCAGCTTGGATTTGGATCCCATCTAGCTGGGAAACTGGTGAAGTTACTTAACCTCTCCCTGCCTCATTTCCTCCCCTGTAAAATGCAGACCTATAGCACCTGTCTCATAGGTTGCTGTGCTGAGTTAGTGCTTATGAAGTACTTAGTGCCTGGCAAATAAGTGCTACATAAATGCTAATTATTGTCATGAAATAAATTCATATCATTGTCTGAATATGATATTGAAAATATTTTTCATGAAATGAAATTATAACTTTAAACAAAGTAAATTATTTTAGGCATTTTTTAGTCTGTAAATTTATGGTCAAATTGGATGTTTCCTC